GAAGGACTCTCGACAGGAAATCGACTTCCCACGAAAGAACAACAAGTCTACGGAGGAAAAATTTCCTCCAATGCATGTCATTTCGGGAGGAACCTGTTCTCGAAGGGAGCATAAGCGTCACCTTAGGGCTCTGACCCACCAGGTGAACAATGCTAATGTTCAACCTCCTCAGCCACCGGTGCCGAACATGACGTTCACTACCGCTGACTGCCGGGGGGTAACATACCCTCATGAGGACCCGTTGGTGATCACCGCCACGGTGGCCAACCACGAGTCGGTCGAGTTCTCGTCGACGGTGGTAGCGGAGCAAATATTTTGTTCCGGAAGGCCAATAACCAAATCAAGCTGAAGCCCAAGCACCTCACGCCAGTACCCTATCCGGTATCCGGATTCAAAGGGTATTCAACTTTTCCTGATGGGAAGGTCACTCTTCCTGTCACCATCGGCTGCGGTGAAGCAGCTAGGAACGTCATGACTGAATTCTTAGTCATTGACGCTCCTTCAGTGTACAACGTGATTATGGGGAGACCCATAATTCACGAGATTCAAGGGGTAGTCTCAACATACCACCAGCTGATGATCTACGTTTCAGACGCGGGATACCCCGAAAGGATCGAGGGCAGCCAAAGGGAGGCCCGAAGGTGCAACTACCTCAAGCCATCCATTAGTCGTTTAGAAGGCGAAGATGAGGATGAGGAGGAGAAAGAAAGGGAACCGAGTGTGAAGAAGCCGAAAGGCCTAAGCGCTTTGGCCCAAGGTTCTCTGGCAAAAGAAAAACAGCTAGAGAAAGAGAAAGCTGGTTCTTCGTCTGAGCCGAAAGACTCAGAGGGCCAGCCGAAGAGGAAGTCCGGCATGCCTGCCGTCTGCCGACATTGACAGCAGGCCGGACAGTGAAGAATCCGGCCCCATAGCAATGGAGCTGGATCAGCAGACCGAAACGGTCGAGTTGACCGAAGGAGACGCTGAAAAATGTGTTTCAATTGGGCTGGATCTTGATCCGAAAGTCCGCGTTGAACTCATCCAACTCCTTCGGGACAACCGAGATGTGTTTGCTTTCTCGGCAGCTGACATGCCCGGGATAAGTCCAGACCTCATCTCTCACAAGCTGAATGTCGACCCCACGTGTCGGCCAGTTAAGCAAAAGAAGCGGAATTACTCCGCCAATAAGAACCGAGACATCGTAGCCGAAGTCAAAAAGTTACTGGATGCAGGCTTCATCGAACCCTGTCAGTATCCAGAATGGCTAGCAAATGTGGTGATGGTTCATAAGGCCAATGGCACCTGGAGAATGTGCGTTGATTTCACGGACCTAAATAAGGCTTGTCCGAAGGACTTTTATCCCTTGCCGAGGATTGATCAGCTAGTCGACTCGACAAGTGGCCATGCCTTGCTTAGTTTCATGGACGCATTCTCGGGGTATCATCAGATCTTCATGCACCCCGACGACCGAGCTAAGACGACATTCGTCACGAACGTCGGGGTGAACAATTACAAAATGATGCCCTTCGGATTGAAAAATGCGGGGGCAACATATCAAAGGCTGGTGGATCAGGTCTTCGTCGATCAAAAAGGCCGAAACATGGAAGTCTATGTAGTCGATTCTATCATCTAGAGCAAAGAAGATAAAGACCATGTTTCGGACCTGGCCGAAACCTTCACCACCTTAAGGAAGCACCAAATGAAGCTGAATCAGAAGAAGTGTGTCTTCGGGGTGAAGTCGGGGAATTCCTTGGCTTCATAGTCAGCAAAAGAGGGATTGATGCCAATCCCGCAAAGGTGCAAGCAGCGCTCGACCTTCCCGAGCCGAAAACAAAGAGGGATGTTCAGCGGCTCACTGGAAGAATGGAAGCCCTGTCGAGGTTCATCTCTAGAGCCTCGGATAAGGGATTACCCTTCTTCAAAGCCCTGAAACTCCCAAAATCCAAAGAGCTCATTTGGGGGGACGAGCAAAAAGAGGCCTTCAAGCAGCTCCGAGAGCATCTGGCTCAACTCCCGACGCCGGCTCGCCCAACCGAAGGAGAAACCCTATACTTGTACGTGGCAGTCATTCCGGCTACTATAAGTGCAGTGCTGCTGAAGGAAGAAGAAAAAGTCTAGCAGCCGATCTACTTCGTCAGTCACACTCTGACGGATGCCGAGACCCGCTACCCCCTACTCGAAAAAGTTGCTTACTCAGTAGTGGTAGCCGTTCGGAAGCTAAGGCCCTATTTTGATTGCCATCAAATAGTGGTCTTAACTGATCAGCCGTTGGAAAAAGTCCTCGGCAAAGTTGAAAAATCTGGTAGGCTGGCCAAGTGGGCTTTCGAGCTCACCGAGTTCAGCATCAGGTACCAGCCGAGAGCAGCCATCAAGGCTCAAGCTCTAGCGGACTTCCTGGCCGAATGCTCGCACCAGGAGATGCTAGACGAAGGAAAGAAAGTCTGGACCGTTTTTACGGATGGATCCTCCACCGTAAATGGTTCGGGGGCAGGGGTAGTGATAACCTCTCCCGAAGGCAAATCCTTTGAGTACACACTAAAATTTTCTTTCAGAGCTTCGAACAACGAAGCCGAATATGAGGCATCAATCGCTGGACTAGAGCTGTGCATCTCCTTGGAAGCCGAGCATGTCTGTCTGAAGACAGACTCTCAGCTGGTCGCAAATCAGATCCGAGGCTAATATGAGGCCAAAGAGCCATCAATGATAGCCTATCTCGCAAAGATCAAAACAACTATTGCGAAGCTGAGAACTTTTGAAGTTCAGCTGATCCCAAGGGGTCAGAATGCTCAAGCCGACGCACTCTCCAAACTTGCCAGTTCAACTCTAACCGAGCTGAACCGATCTGTATATGTGGAAGTGCGTCGAGAAAGAAGCGTTGACGAAGCACCTGAAGTGTGCTGCGTTGACCATGAACCAAGCTGGATGGACCCCATCCTGGCTTATAAACTTCGGGGAGAAATTCCCGAAGACAGAAGCTTAGCCTTCAAACTGAAGCGAACCAGTTCCAGGTTCATCGTCTTCGTGGGAGAGCTACTGAAGAAAGCTTTCTCAACCCCGTTGCTGAAATACGTGGGTCCAACAGATGATAATTATATCCTTCAGGAAATTCACCTCGACATCCGTGGGAACCACATTGGGGGAAGGGCCTTGGCCCACAAGGCACTTAGGGCAGGTTATTATTGGCCCACCATGGTCTCATAAGCTACGGAGCTGGTTAGAAAGTGTGAAAAATGCCAAAAATTCGCACCAGTCATCCATCAGCCGGCCAGAGACCTTCAACCAATTTTGAATCCACTTCCATTTGCACAATGGGGGCTGGATATATTAGGACCCTTTCCAGATGCACCATACCAAAAAAGGTGGTTGATAGTTGGCATTGACTATTTCAGCAAATGGATTGAGGCCGAAGCGACTTCTTATATCACAAAACAGACTGTCAGGAAATTCATCTGGCAGAACATCATCACCCGTTTCGGTGTTCCGAAGGTTTTTGTCTTCGATCATGGGCGGTAGTTTGATAACCTGCCGCTGAGGCGGTACACTGACCAGTTTGGTATCAAATTGACATACTCAGCAGTGTGTCACCCACAAAGTAACGCTCAAGCCGAAACCGCAAATAAACAGATCCTAAACGCTTTGAAGAAAAGGGTTGAAAATCAAAAGTCCAGGTGGATCGAAGAGCTCCCGGGAACTCTTTGGTCGCTTCGGACAACCGAAAAAGAGGCAACGGGCCATTCACCGTTTGAGCTGGTGTATGGCGCCGAAGCCGTTCTTCCAGTGGAAATCGGTTCCGAAAGTCTGCGAGTGCACTACTTCTCGGCTGAGAATGAGCAACTTATGAAGGAATCTCTCGATTTCCTTGATGAAGTAAGAGATTCGGCCCGAGACAGAATGGCTGCATACAAGAAAATAATCAGCAAATTTTACAACCGAAGGGTCCATGCGAGGCCTCTTAGAATTGGGGACCTCGTCCTTCGGAATGCTGCAGCTGTTCAGAAAAGCCGAATCCATGGGAAACTCTCAGCCACTTGGGAGGGTCCTTATGAAATTTATGATGAACTTCAGCCTGGGACATACCAACTTCGGCAGTTGGATGGAACTGAGCTGAAAAATCACTAGAACGCCGATGTACTTAAGAAATACCATGTGTAAACCCTTCGGGGCTGAACAATCTTTGTAAGTACATTTTGAGCTATTAATGAAAGGCCTCAGAGCCACTATTTCTACAAATATTTGCAATTTTTATTCTTTTATTTTTCTGTATTCTATCTACTCTTTAAGGGTTTCCTTCAGCCCGTTTGAAACCTTCGCCTCTAAGGCACTAGGTTTCAGATTGCTGATAAACTCGTCTTTTAAAAAGAACACTGGTCTTTCAACTGAAGCAAAAACTTCAGTAAGACTTGTTCTCCAAGACAGTGAGTCCATGGATTAAACTGGGATATTGCCTTAACTGAGCCTTGTATCCCAGAGGGCTATTATCTGAAACATTGCCTTCAGTTGGCCTTGTGTTTCAGATATCCATTTTTCAGAAAAACAGAAAACCAAGAATAATCGCATAAGTTAAATTTTTTTTTTAATTAGCTTCAGCTGAAAGCAAAGTAAAGCAAATTCCAACTCAGAAATCCTAAGACCGAGTCTTCAGATTACTGGGGGGCAAGAATGACTACCTTCAGCAATATTCTTCAAGCCGAAGCTTTGCACTTAGACAAATTTTGCAAAAATTCAAAAATGCAGAAAATCAAGCACGCAATATAAGGCATCGACAGAGATAGAGTTTGTACAGATAAATAATGCTCAGAAAACGAGCTACAAGTTTGAATGTTTTAGAACATAAAATAAAAGCATCGGCAGCCGCCCACAAGCGGAAAATTACAGCTGCCGAAGTACATATAAAAAGAGATAGAGTTTGTACATCAAGGAAAGCTGAAGCAAAAACAAGGCAAAAAAGGATTCAGAATGCGGCAAGTCTGAAGTTAAGCACATGATGAACCGCAAGATTCTGAAGACGACTGCCCGTGTTCCTATGCTTCAACCGAAGGATCAGGCTGATCAACACCTCTGGGTCCCTCAGCAGGTTCAGCCCCAGCAGCAGAAGAGGCAGGTTTTGCGCTCAGCTGAGCCTCTCTTTCCTTCTGCTCAGCTTCTAACTCCCTCCGCTCAGCTTCTTCTTCGGCTTCTTCAGCCTTTAGAATTTTTACTTCGGCGGGAATTGGATATAGCATGTGGGGGTCTTCAGAATCTCGGACCCAGATGGCGCACTTGGACCAGTCCAAGTTCGGCTCAGCATGAAGGCAGACTCTTCGGCAGACTCTAAACCCAGTCTTGTAACCCGCCTCATACTCCTCTTGGGTGTAGACATAGACCTGGAGTTTAGCCTCAGCATCAACCAGCTTCTTGTTGGCCTCCTCCGAGTCTTGCTTGGATTTCTTCAGCTCGTCAGTGAGCTTGGAGGAGGACTCTTTTTGCTCGTTCAGCTCTTACTGAACCCTTGAAGCTTCAGCCTGTGCCTTGGACAGTTCGTCCTCCTTTGCCTTCAGCTGATCCTCAAGCTCTTGAAGCATAAGGTCCTGAGCTTCAGCAGAAGCAGCGGCCTTAGAAAGGAGAGCATTTCTGGCCGTGAGCACTTCTTCAGCAGCCATCTTGTTGGCTTCCAAAGCCTCCAGTCTCTGCTGTACTTCTTCAGTGCGCTCCCCTATTCGGCGCTCAATGGCAGCCTTGAAACTAGGGATGTCCACGACCCCATGCTCTTGGAGAAGTTTCTCCCCTTCTATCAGCTGGGGAAAAACTTCCTCCTCCATTGCCTTGCAGAAGGTCTGGAGGGCTTCAACAGCCTCCAACCCATGCTTTTCAGCTTCCTGTTGCTTCTCTTCAGCTGCTAGCTGCTTCAGCCCAGCAAGCTTTGCCTCAGCTTCGGCAATCTTCCTCTCTCCTTCAGCCTTCTCCAACTTGTCTTGGAGGTCATCAATCAGCTCTACAGTGAGAGTCTGATTATGTACAAACTGGCGAAAAAGGTGTAAGTAAAAAAAATAAAAACAACTGACTGAACTGAAGAACTGAAGTTAAGAAAAAATAAAGGCAAGTTAGAAATTTACCTGCATCATCAGCAATTGGTTGGATCTGGCTGGGTCAGGAACCCTTCTGCTGGACTCACCCATCCCAGTAGTGGCCTTCAGCGACCATACTCTTGCTCTATCTACTTCGGACATGCCAGCAAAATTGCTGAAGTAGGCTGCAGCTCCTTCTCGGTTTTGACCCCAAATAATGTCCCAGATGTGGTTTGGAATGAAGGGAAGGAGGACGAAGGACCTTCCTGAACCTTTGATGGTTCAACATCTTTCTCTTCTTCAGCAGGGTCTGGCTGATCCTCATCCTGGCTGATCTCTATGATTTCCTCTTGATGTTCAGACTCGAGGATCAGCGCATCAGCCTCTCTTGTGATGTCTGCTGAGAAACCCTCAGCAACGGGTTCCTCAGCAGCTTTAGCAGGCTGCTTTACAGCACTCTGCTGGGCTTCCTCCTAAACCCCTCCCTTCGGATCAGGAACTTTTTGATCCACCTCCATTTAAGGAGGTGGTGAAGGGGGTCGGGGGGGGGGGGAGGCTGTACTGGCGGCGGGGAAGCCCTCGGCGATCCATTGCCTTCCTCAGGCTCCCTTATGCTTATCCCAGGAGGCCTGGGTCTCGTCTGAAAGGCACGGGGGCCCAGTATAGCCATTCCCGTCCTCCGCCTTTTGACCAGGGGCTGTTTGTCCATATCTGATTCTTCAGATTCCTCTTACAGTTGATCTTCGGGACGAATTGGAGCCTTCCCCTCTCTTGGTCTTCTGCTCTCTTCTGAATGCAGAATACCGGGGGGCAGGAAGAGTATGAGTAAAAAAAAAAAAAAAAAAAGAAAAGAAAAGAAAGCTGAAGAGCAAAGCTGAAAAGCTTACCGAAGTCTTCAACAGAGCCTCGTCTTCTGCTGCTGCTGCTGCCTCGTCCTCAGCAGCCTTGGAGGTTCCCTCACCTCCTTCGCAGGCTTCAACGGCTCGGGCAACCTCTTCGGCTGTCTGAGCGGCCTCTTCCTCCTAGGGCAGTAGCGGGACGAAATGATCGTGATTTCTCCACCAAGGCTTCTGCCTCTGGTATAACGTAGCAGCTTCGATCTGAAGGTGCGTCGAGTGCAAGTACGGAGCTCGATCCTTCGGCTCAGTGATAGAGGGAGAAGATCTGGTTACGATTCTTTCGACGCTGACTCCTAAGCGCCGATAGTCAACCTTGGCAGTTGCCTCGCTCAGCTCTTGCATACAAAAAGAGCAGGAATTAGTTCAGCACTACAAAATGCTGTACAATGTTAAAGAAAAAGACGAAGCAATTGAATAAAAAACAAGTTTTCGGCCCCAGCCAAAGGAGCTTACCATCTCTGAACTTTCGGCTGAGGCCAACAGCAGCAAGCATGTGCTCCTGGAAGGCATAATGGGAATCCGGAAGCCAGGTCTCCAGGACGAACTTCATTCGGCCAGTACCCCCAGGGTTTTCTCTCTTCCCAAAAATAGTAGCTTGGAGGATATGTAGGTCCCTTTGGCCATCAGCATCTGGTGGGCCCAGACTTCTCATATGGGGTCCGGCCTGGAGAGGTATCTTGGGGCGCTGAAGACGTTGGGATGTTCAGGATCTGTGGGCGCCCTAACCCATATCCATTGTCCTCTCCAGTCCTTGTCCGAAGAGTCGTTCGGCCACGTTGTCAAAAAAGGGGGTTGGGACTAAATCCGATACCACCCAACACCATGCTCGCCGTACCTGCTTTGAGCATTCGGCACCAGTCGATGAAGCTTTTTGAAGCAGTGCAGGTTTGACTCAAATATGAAAAATTTACAGACCCACAAGTACGTCATCACCCTTCGGATGTTGACATGGGTCAATTGGCACAGAGAGATCCTGTAATGAATTAGGAGGTCTCTGACGAAGTCTTCCAGGGGGAAGCGCAACCCATACTGAAGTTGCCTTGTGTACACCCCCACATACCCAGGGGGTGGACGATGAATCTTATCTGATGCCGTTCCATTATGCCGTAATGTAGCTCGACCTGTTCGGCAAACCGATACTATTCGGCATTGTTTACCCACCAGGAATAAGGTCGATTTCTCATCATGGAAGAAATGGTTTCGGGATCTCCCCATTCTTCGAAACCAGGGAGAACATCCCAAAGCGCAGCAGGAGCCCCTTCGTCCTGCCCAGAAGTGCTCGGCCCCTCCGTTCCTTAAGGAGGCGCCGAAGATATTGGGGTGGCCCTAAGCCCTTCAGCAGGGTCAGGTCTAACCCTTTCCCCATTCCATGTACTGGTCCTACCCCTGGGGTCTGGAATTTGTCTCGCTCGTCTCGGCTGGCGAGCTCTGCCTCGCACACCTCTAACCATGTTCGGGTTTTCGAAGAGAAAAGTCGAAAAAAGGGGGTGTGCGTTCAAAATCGAAGAAAAAACAAACAAAAATCAAAGGAAATTACCTTAATTCGAAGCGGAATCTGCCGATCTATGAGTTCGGAATGACGAATTTCGGTTTCAGAAGAATAATCTCAGGGAATTCGCGAAGTTTTGATGCGGGTTCAAGGGTTTCTCGTGGGTTCGAGTTTGTGTTTGTGATGAAATGAGGAGAGAGAGTGCGCTCCTTTTGGTTTTATTTCCGGAAAAGGGAATTCTGGGAGTTCGTGCTTAAATTTTCTCTTAAATTCCTCATTAAGTAACCGTTAAACACATTCCCTCCTAATTAACTACCCATTATCCGTCCAACTTCCTTAATTATCCGTTCAATCGCAGTTATTTCACTAATTGCAGTTTAAATTTAAATTTTTCCTTGATTAATTAAATCATTTATTTCCCTCCATCTTTTGCCAATCAAAACCCGACCCGTCATTCTTCCAAATCGGGTCTGGGGGACAAGTTGTTTGGGTCCAATTTAGTCCAATTGGGCCTGGTCCATAAATGATTCAATTCAAAGCCCAAGGTCAAAGGTTCAACTCTCCAGCCCATGCTAAGTCAAGGACAGTCAACATGGCAAGCCCATTTGGCTCCGGCCCACTTCTCCAAATTATGCTAAGGTATAAAAGCCATCAATTGTACCACTTTACATTCAATTCACATACAGCCTCAAGCAATTAATTCTCTTGCATAGTTTTTCTCTCTACACATTGTACTGACTTTAGCATCGGAGGGGCCTTCCTCGACACAACCCCCGAGGCTAGTTTACGTGTGTTTGCTGTGCAGGAAATCCTCAGCCCAACGTCATTTGGACCGAGCCCAGTCTTCACCACATCTTCGGACCTTCGGTAAGGTCCCATTGTTTTCAACCGAAACAATTTTTTTTACTAATATACTATGTATTATTATTGTCTTATTGACAATGTTACGCTTACCGATTTAAGTTAAATTCAACCTTTTAATTGATTTTTTATTTGTTACTGTATAAATTTGACTACTAATATCTGTAATTATAATATTGTAATAGCAATGAAAAATTGATATATATATATATATATATATATATATATATATATATATATATATATATTGAGATAAATATATATATATTTTATATATTGACACTTATTTTTACATGTTAGTAATTAAACATTTACGGTCAAAAGAAGACATGTAAATTGTAAAAGTCAACCTATTGCATCTAACTTGAAAGTGTTGAAACAGAAGGATTATTATTTATTATGTAAAGGTTGTTGGATTAGTCCTAAAGTACATTATTTTAAAAATATTAACAACATTCTTTAACTAAACTACAAAATAATCATAAATATATACTTGTATATTAATAGTCAATATTGCATGTTGGTAAATACTTGTATAAAAGTCAAACTGTTACAAATATATTAAGAAATGAAGAATCATATATATACGTAGAACACGAGCTATTATGTTTATATGTATAGGCATGCTTGAATTTATTGAGTTCATGTATGAGGAGACACCACCGACATATATAGTTGCTGTTTGAGATGATCAGTAGCCTACTTGATTGTCTTCTTATAATTTTATAAATATGTTTACTTGAGCTCACTTGATATTATTACTATTAAGTACTCCGTATTATATTATTTATGAACAAAACTGAATTGAATTTTAGAAAATAAGTTCAAAAGAACACGATTATTGAACTATACAATTTACATGCAATTTGATAAACAAATACTCCTATATATCAAGCATGCATGCAAACGCAGTAACATTAATTTGTCAGTGTAGACGCATAGTTATGAATCTATTTCAAATCAATTCTCTAATGTCTAGACTTCATTGCCCGATCATTGATATTGAATTTATATTTATATTATACTTTGCAAATTTAATTTATTATTGTTCCTTAATTTTATTTTTTCCAAACCGTATTGCAGTAGTAGTTAGGAATAAGTCCCCTCAAAAAAACGAATATTAGGAATAACCTAACTTTAAGCAGTTAACATAGGAGTTTGGGGGAACAAGTGATCATCCAAGCCTAAACATCCTTAGATGTAGCAACTAACCTAATTTATTTTTGTGGCCTAAATAAAAGATTCATATCTGATTCTAAAAAAATTACATGGTGGAGTAACTAAGTAATTCTCTTTCTTTCTAGGTTTATATATCACATTTTATATATATTTTTTCCCTTCTAGATTTTATTACACTATCAAAATTGATTAATGTACTATTGATTTCAAAGAGAGGCACTATTTTAGAAGAAGTGTTAGTGAACAGTTGGTGATTTGGCTTCAAATTTTGTTGCAAGTTAAGGCTGTCACATTGTTTAAAAAATTTACAAAGTGAATGTTTCAGATAATATTGTAACTGGACAATTCAATTTGTAAAGATTATATGAAGTTTTTTTTGTTGTTGTAATAGTTATAGTTTTTCTACCGTACTCCAAATCAAGTACCTAGTAATTTTACAATCTTACACGGTTGTGATTGTAGTTGATTAGGCCCGAAAAACACCTGTATAGGTAGCGTCGTAGGGAGAAAAATGTTGAAGAAAGTGATAGATGTAAAGGAAGCCAAGGAGCAAATATTATTCTCGTTCCCTATGATACTCACCAATGTGTTCTACAATCTAATTCCAATGATTTCAGTCATGTTTGCTGGTCATTTCGGCGAGCTACCATTGGCTGGCTCTACTCTTGCCAATTCTTGGGCTACTGTCACTGGTTATGCATTTATGGTCAGATTTCTCTCTTTTTTTTTTTTAATTTGTTTTCGTTTACTTATATAATAGAGATATATTTTTTTTTTTCGTTACTCTAGCCCCCCTTTAATTTGATCATTTGTGAAATTTTTGTGATTGTAGCTTGGATTAAGTGGTGCACTCGAGACATTATGTGGGCAAGGCTTTGGTTCAAGTTTGTACAATATGCTAGGGATTTATCTCCAAGCATCATGTATGATCTCGTTAGTTTTCTCTTTAATTATATCCGTAATATGGTGGTTTACGGAACCCATTTTAGAATTACTCCATCAAAGCCCTGTTATTTCTAAAGAATCAGCAATCTATATAAGATATTTAATACCGGGTATATTCGCATTTGGCATTCTACAAAACATCATAAGGTTCCTCCAAGCACAATCTGCGGTTTTTCCCCTAGTTATTTTATCAATTGTTCCGTTGCTCTTGCATTGTGGCCTTAACTATGTGTTGGTTCATTTCACAACCCTTGGTTTTAAGGGACCGGCGGTGGCTACCTCCGCATCGTTTTGGCTATCGGTTATAATTCTGATCACATACGTGAGTTTTGCTAATAAATTCGAGCATACATGGAAAGGGCTATCGACTGAATCATTTTTACATGTCTTTTCTAACTTGAAACTGGCACTACCTTCTGCTGCTATGGTATGGTAGGTACACTTCTCCAATTTACACCACATTGTACTGTGAATTACACTTAGAAATCTATAATGTCTTATTTTGGACGTTATGTTTTACAGTTTTGAGTATTGGGCATTTGAAATCTTGGTGTTGTTGGCTGGCCTCATGGCAGATTCTGAAGCAACTACTTCTCTCATGGCAATATGGTAAGATTAACGATTTGCTATGTTTTTTCTCTTATGATTCTAAAGGCCATTACTATGTCGAATTGTCGATCTCACTTCTTCCTATCAAAAGTGTAATTACAGAAACAATTGCTTATATGGGTGCTTACGGGTTGAGCGCGGCAGCAAGGTATCAATGTGACATAAGAACTCCTTTATTTTCTTAAAAAAAAAATTTAGACTTCAAATCTAATTTGATTACAATCTTTGAACTTTTTTCATGATAGCACACGAGTTTCAAATTTGCTTGGAGCTGGGAAACCGAGTCAAGCGAAGAGTGCAATGGGCGTTACAATAAAGCTGTCGATTCTCTTAGCCATGCTTATCTCTCTAGCTCTAGGCTTGGGGCGTTACATTTGGGGAAGCTTCTTCAGTGACAATGCCAGTATAATCAAAGCATTTGCTGCCTTGACTCCTTGGATTTGCTTATCCATACTCTTGGACTCGATCCAAGGCGTACTATCAGGTGCAGGATTATCACACTGTATTGTCGATTGCTCGCATTTAGTTTCCTTCTCTAATCATTCTTGTTACATGAAACAGGGGTATGCAGGGGATGTGGTTGGCAACACTTCGCCGTATTCATAAATTTGGGAACATTCTATTTCATTGGTATGCCCATTGCATATTTAACTGCCTTTAAGTTTAATTTGCACGTCAAGGTAATAATCACAACTTTACTATTCTCATTCGGACTAAATTTGTTTACATTTTACAGTACAAATCAAATTGATCGAATATATTTCATATTAAAGCTTACTCTGCGTTTTTTTGTGATCTGTGGTTTAGGGTCTTTGGATTGGCTTAATCTGTGGCCTCACCGTTCAATCTGCTTCGCTTTTTCTGATTACTCGATTTCATAAATGGACAGCACTTGACATCTCTTCCAGAGGCAATGAAAATTCAGTTAGAGCAGAACCAGTGTAGCTAGGATAGATCTTGATAGCACTTCTTTCCTAATGTAACTTTTTTATCCAAATGTATTTAAACATCAGAACACGATAAAGCATTAGTTTAGAATAGTAGACTCACATGAGCCACACAGTTGAAATTTCAAGAATGCATTTTCTATAAACAACCATGGCTTAGCCACCATCTACAAGGTTTCTGATAACGACTGACTCAAGCATGAACGTGAAAGAATTAAAAAAGACGAGAAAAGAAGCGTGTAAGCAAGCGATTACCATGCTGCAGTAGGAGACTCACATGAGCCAAACAGTTGAAATTTCAAGAACGCATTTTCTATAAACAACCATGGCTTAGCCACCATGTACAGGGTTTCTGATAACGATTGACTCAAGCTTGAACATGGAAGAAATAAGAAAGACGCGAAATGAAGCGTGTAAGCAAGCGATTGTCATGCTGCACGTTACTTTCATTTCAATTTTATCCTAAAACATACTTGTAAACTAGATTACTACTGTAGAATTCTACACAGCAGGAAAACTAATACAAACCACAAACGTCCCAAAAAAATTAGGATAATTCACCTGCAATCGTGGGACAGCAGAGTATAAACTTCCAATTTCTAAGGACCACTTCATGAAATGGCAGGCATTTATTGCCTGCTCTGCTTTTAAGACCAGGGAAATTTGTGGGTCCATGCTCTTAAAAAAATCTCGATCTGTTCCCCATTATATTGCACTATTGTTCTCCTCCACGTAAATAATTTACGGTCTTGAACATACAACAGCTGCCATATCTAAACTTAACAAGTAACTTATCAAAAGGTTCCTTCTCTTCCCTCCAATTTATACCAAAAGTCCATAAATTCGTAACAGAATTGTATGAAGCGAAATCAGCTTTTGTGAATTAGGTGAGAGGTGACGTGGCGCCTTCTTAAAACAAATGTTGAGGCTCCATGTATATTGTACTCCAATTGCTGGATGCAGACAGATTAAATTGGGTATTAAACATGGGTTGTGTCTGATTCAGAATCATAAAGAGTGGAGAATTTTACGAAATGTTTCAGTCAAAGCTCTAAGAGATGAACAAAATGAAGGAATGAGAGGATTACCAAGTCAGAGCTGGGATCCAGGCTTGGAGATCGAGGTTCCATTTGAGCAGAGACCGGTATGTATGAACACTTGCATAGTAGTTTCAAGTGTGATTTTAGTCTCCTTGATACCTGTAAGTCTGCAACCCATGGAATCCTGATTAGCTTTCACATCATTTGCCATCAAAATCAGCTGTTCACTTGAATTGAATCCCAGATGTTGCATAAATAAGATATGTAACAAAAAAAAATAGTTGGTTCAAGTTTTAACATTATTCTCCATAGGTCTAAAAGCTTTATTTGAATTCTGACCCTCTGGTATATGCCTCTGAAGTCGGAAGTTATGTCTCACCAATAATATTAAACTAATTGAGTAAGGATGAGAGAAGATGCGAAGCACAATCAATCCCAACAAAAGTTATTATAGAGATGTATGTACCACGCTCTCATGTGCACTTACATTTCTCATACAGGTCAATGAGTACTCATCTTTGAAGGAAGCAAGCCTGTACTCCTGGGCTGAGTTGAGTCCACCTTCCTTTTTCCAGCGGCTCGGAGGTATGTGGTTAACAACTTTTACAATACTGGGGATGCCAGTTGCAGCTGCTAGCTTCAATCCTTCCAAGGTATGCCCTAGCTCAATCCTAAGGGAAACCAAAAAAAAATGATTGAAGAATGTTAAATACCTCAATAACAATGAATACAAGCCACAAACCAAAAGATGCTGCTTGATTTTAATTAATTTTTTGCCACAAACAAGTTTCTCGCCTTCTTGGTTTCTCTTGTTCTAAAAAAACCATAGAGCATTAGACAGGAGTGATGTCACACTCCCAAATTTAATTTAGCACTCGTCTTTGTGTGTCAAGCACTTAAAAGGCTAAACCCGTGCTCTCACAAAAGGAGTGTAGAAATCATTTTTGGAGTTGGGCAAAATCAATTCCCAGCATCAGCATGTGAGAGCACTGAGCAGCAAATTCAAATTTATATTCAAGAAACTACAGGCACATAGAAAATTCTAATTCTTAAGTCTACACAATGGTTAATTTGAATTCCTCATCTGCTAGCATATATGATTGTTCATTTGCTCTTTTCCCTGTCGCAGGAACCTCTACGATTTTTATTAGCTTCAGGAACAGGAACCCTATTTCTGGTGTCGCTGATTGTACTGAGGATATATCTGGTATTTAATCATAATGTTTCGCGACTGATTAGAGTCAATAACTATATTTTGAACAAGTATTCATTAGTGCAGTGCATTTCAATGTGCTTTGCACATCAAAATCCCATATTTTCAAGTGACACTGGCTGGGCACATTGTAGGGATGGAGCTATGTGGGCGATAGGCTTTTATCAGCAGTAGTACCCTATGAAGAGAGTGGATGGTATGATGGGCAAATGTGGGTGAAGCCACCAGAGGTCAGAATTTATACGCTTCTGCAACTGTTTCAAGCCCAAGAACTATCTTTTGTTGTAACTCATTATTCTGACATATATTTTGGTCCTTTCAGGTTCTAGCTCGTGATAGGCTGCTGGGATCCTATAAGGTATGACATGTGTTCCAACTTAATTTTCATACTATACCAGGGTGATCAGCGATTAATAAGCAAAGAAATAAGAGATCTACAAAGACATTATACTGCCAAATGCATAAATATACACACAAGATTCAGCTCTTAAGCATATAACTTGTCGACGAACTAATAAATTTGTGATACCTTTAGGTGAAACCGGTAATCAAAATGTTGAAGCAAACGCTGGTTGGAACTGGGGCCCTGCTTGTATCTGGAGTCTTGCTATTTATCTTTGCCACACCAGTGCAGAATTATTTCCAAGCCATTTTCACCACAAAAGACATTTCTCAGGAAATTTCAAGCACAAATGTCGACACTAAGTTTAATATGAGGTACACTAAGATAAGTTCTACCATTAGAGTAATATAGGCAACTTCTCAATCTAACAGCTTTTTACTTTCAAATTTTTTTTCCCACAGAAAGGAGGAGTTGTTGAGGCTGCCAGTGGAGGTTAAGCAAGATGATGACCTAGCAGCAGCAGCCGCAGAGGCAGCAGATGGAAGGCCAGTCTACTGCAGAGATAGGTATTACAGAGCATTAGCAGGTGGGCAATATTGCAAATGGGAGGATCTACTAAGATAGAATGCTATACAACATTGTCTTTACATTAAAATGATCATATTTTATGGATTGGAATCAAGAGTTTGTATAAGTATCTCCAATATATCATAAGGGTGTGTGAAATGAAGTATCTGTATGAAAGGGCACCTCTCTGAGCAGGACTTTACATAGCTAAAATACACAAGGAAAAACACAAGAATATGTCTCTGAGCATTATTGCAGATTTAAAGGGATACATAATATTTATGTTTCCAATTATTGATGTATATTTGACCTCATTTATCAACCCCTCCCCCTAAGAGGAAAGAAAATAGGACCAAATCAAGAATAGGATTAATCAGTTACACTTTGTTTGGATAGCAAATAAGGAAGGAAAGGAAGGGGAGGGAAAGAAGGGGAAGGGAATGAAAAAGAAAGGGAGGGGGAGGTGAGCTCCATTTTCCCTCCAAATCTCTCGAATTTTGGAGGGATTATGCTAATTAAAGAGAGAGGGAAAATGGATCCCTCCCTCTCCTTTCTCTTCCTTCCCCAACCCTTTGCCCAAACAAGAGAGTTTGTCCCCCTCCCTTTCTCTTCCTTTCTTTTCCTTCCATCTCCTTCCATCCAAACAAAGCGTTAAAGCTGGAAAATCACTAATGACCTTTTAGTTTACTGGCATATGGTGCAATTTGCCAGGGGTACACAGTGAGACACAAAATATACTGTAATAACTAACAAAGCAAATGCTCACCTCCCAAGGAAAAATCACTTAGCAGAGGAGCTGAAGGGCTAAATTGAAGACAAGCATCTGGAACTTCAATTTTAGAAACACAGGAGCAGTCAATCGGATTGTTGATCTTCAGATAGGATCTTAGAGCCATGAACTCCCAAAACATAATAGAAGTAAGCTCCTCAATAACCACCAAACACTGCAGGGACAGATTTGATCTAGAGAAAAAAAAAAAAAGAAGACTGCAACCAAGTAGCATAGGAGCTTTTTGTCATTAAACAAGTTTCTTGCACCATTTAAACATTTTGAATAACTTTCCTTGAGTAATATCCCAGAAAGTTTGCTTTGTTCGCCTTGCATTTTCTATATCGAGAGTCCTATATGCTAGAGCAAGCAAATATACTGCCGGGTGGAGTCTCCTGCAGAAAATATATGGATGATAAGGTAAAATCAAATATTAAACATGGAGCTAAACAAAAACTGAGCTTTTGATCTTGAAAACACAAAAGGTTGTAAGACGATGACAAAGTTCACTTACTCTTCACATTCTTGGTGAGATTCAAAGCCATCCCAATATCTTTGTGATGGAACAGTTTTTCTTTTCCTATCCCGCCCATATGTTTCCACATACCATCCACCAATATCATGTGTGCTACAGCGTGGCTCAAACAACCAAAATCTGCAAGGAAAGAGACATGTTGGATTCCAACGGCTATATGATGTTGAAAGTAAATAAGGACTCACTACACACATTGTCTAGAAGCTATAAATCTTTGGAAACTTACCAAAAAAATCATTCTCAGAATGAGATTCAATAATAGAACCACATATTTAAAGAGTCAAATGGAACTGTTCCAGAAACTTCAGCATGGATGCTATGCTATACAATGTGCAAGCATGCTAATCCCAAAGAATGATTACAGAAACAAATTAGAATACACATAGATTACGGAGTACATATCTACATTTCTTGGATTCTTAATACTGTAGATTCCATCAACAGAAAATGGTTCTGAAACTAACATTACTTGCTTTTGTGTCTGGAGGAAGGGGATTAAAGAACAAATTAGTCTTCTAGTTCCTTAAAATTTGCCGGGGATCTTTATGTTCCTTTTTTTTTTTTTTTTTGAAGAGCGGGGATCTTTATGTTCCTAGGAACTTACAAAATGACTACATATTTCATTGCAAATTAAGTTGTATGCACACACAAAAGAACCAGTTTTGTACCATGTAAACATCTGACCCCATACCACTATGTTCATACTCTTAAGTGACCTGAGGAAGTCTACTTCTATACCTGAAAGGCCTCATAAGTGAACAGTCATTAATTAAAGGAAGCGTCTCTGTAACTCTAAATTCACTGCCACCCCCATTAATAGAGAGAAGAATACTTCAGGAAGTAAAGCCAATCATGAAATTCAGAATCTTCCGCATCCATGAATTCCCTGTAGAGGAAGAGACTTACTTGCTTGATGGCAATCGAGCCCTGGTGCATCTACATTCACAAATAGAAACTTCATCTCCCAACTGAAACCAGTGCATGTGTTTGACCTAAAACAGATACTTTAAGTTGTCAAATTTCCACTCTTTGCTTCAACAATGGCAAGAGAAAAGGCAGACAAACAGTAGAACAAGAAAACATTTTTAAAAACCTTTTAGGAGGGGGGGGGGGCAATTGAGAGAAAACACAGGCTCAAAATTACTGTATACTCCGTAGTAAGTTAGAAACTAATAAGTTTGACAATTAAAATAAATTCTGCTTGCAAAATTTTAAGTATATGATCTTTTTTTGTATTTTGGAAAACATGAATGCATAACTAACTTATCAGCTTTAACGAACATAAGTAAAATCATAAATGTATAGGACTGAATGGATGATTGCCATTTAATTTAGACACATGTGAGGCTCTGAATTTGAGAGTACAATACAGGGTGAACCAGTGAAGTGATCCTAATTACGACAGTACTCAAAATGAACATATAATATATGCAAAGATATATACAGTAAGTAAAAAATGGAGCCCACAGTAAGATAGAGCAAAGGGTAGATAGTCAGACAAACCAGTGGTGTTCTATGCTTGAGAATCACATGACTCTTTGAACCATTACTATTGTATACATAACAGGAGCTCTCATCAGGATTAGTTCCAAGCCCAGCTATTGTGCCCAAGACGACCTTTGAAACTGAACCATGCAAGGTTCTTTTATTCGAATGACAACGGTTGAAATGCACTGGATCCTCTTGCGAATTAAGAAAAATATGTATCATATCTTGTGAACTATCCTCATCGACCTTGTCAGGAAAATCGCTTGCACCAGAAGATTTTTTTGGAGGGATTCTAGTTGCCATAGCAACTAACCTCCCACACACATGCAACTCCAAATCTTTGTATGCATCTAAAGCTTGATTTTGGATATCGTTCATATTGTTTTGAGGCAATTCAGCAGATGCTTTATTGTTGGCAAAATCTGTTTGACAGCCGACATTGTCCACAGGCTGACACAATTCTAAATCCTCAAGTGCAGTAGTCAGTTTTTTATAAGAAACATCAGACAATTCAGGAACATCATCAACAATGCGGACAATTCCAAAGAGATCACGCCCTGAAACCAAGTGTAACACCTCAGGTGTTTCAAATACAGACCTCTCTTCAGCTTCAAAACGATCAGGAAGAAGGTCCAGAGACAGGATTTCAGGACCAAAATACGCTGAATGCATGGCTGAATAAAATTCTCTTTGAAGCACATCAAAATAACCTGAACCAGACGGCAAACTTCTCTCTGATAATATATCCTTCACAGCATGTCTATACCACTTCAACCACTCAACAACCTCCATTTGCTTTGTTGTGTTCACATAAGAACCATACATGTGATAACTCGAACCTTCTCTTGAATGCTTCTGTTCAATGTGTCTTCCAGTTTGCAAATACTGATCATATAAAGCTCTTTTAGTAGGCTCAGAAAGAATCTGCAACCAGATTCATATACTAGTCAAATAAACCAAATTTGAATGATGGCAAAACCTTCCATATATTAACCATTGAACCTAATAGGTTCGATCGCATTAGCCTACGCACACCTTATAATTACCAATGTCAATGCTCAACAGACAAGCAGCGAGCTCGAGCGTTTCTTAAAGCAAATGCCAATTATAAATATGATGAAAATCATAGACCTAGACTTGTAAGAGCAAATATATAAAAATGTCATGACAAAGCACAACCCTACACTATGTAACCAGTTTTTTTTTTTTTTTAACCATATCTCTAACTCTGAACAATGCAAATAAATCAAACAAAAACAAATTGCCAAAACAATTGACAATTGATCAATTGAACATAATTCGTATAGTTTTTGAACAACATGATCACCAACAAAATTAGAAATTGTAGAAACTTCAGAGTTCAGACCACTAATTCCAACACTTATCCCATGCAATTCACATTAATTTACAGAAGAAATCAAAAGCGACAAAAGAGTAGTGTACCTCATAAGCAGCGACAATTTGGACGAAACGTTTCGGATCGACAGTATGATCAGTATCAGCGGAGGAAACGAGGTCAGGGTGCGTTTCTTTAGCAAGCTTCCGAAAAGACGCCTTAATATCCTCAAACGAGCTGTTCTCCGGAACACCGAGAACTTCGTATGCGTTGTCGGCGCCGGAGAACTCAGGGTGAGCCGACTCAGCGTTGGTACCAAACCACCGACTCGGGTAAATGAATTGCAGAACAAATCTAGCCTTCTCTCTGGGACTCAATTCCAGTGGAGGAGAGAGAAAATAAGATCGCTGGAATTGCGCGGCCATTTCAGAAACGACTGTGCTCGACATCTCTCTGTACAGTCCGTACTCCGTAGGATGTAAAGGTCATAAAATAGTGTCGGAATCGGGTCGGGCCAACCTTTTCGGTGGAACCAAGCCCGTAAAAAACCCAATTAGGGCTTGTTCTCATACGTTTATTTTCAGTTCAGTAGTAATGGTAACATTTGATGTTTTGAAGTTTTGTAGGTGATAAATTTTTAAGAAAATAAATAATTCGATGTGCTAATTCTAAAAAGGGATGTATTGATGTTAGTATTTTTCAAATTTTCCTTCAGTATTAACATATGTGTGTATATGTTTATTAATCCCTTCGTTTCGATTTAATTGCAACATTAGAGTGTTCACAAAATTTTAAAAAAAAATTATAGGGTGGGGCCTAAAAGAGGTTTTTTACTTGTGATTTTGACTTTTATCTTTGCTACACATAGTTAAACTTTATCAATGATACACCTAAATATAATCCTAAATAACTACCGTAAGCATAATGTTAACCTGACTTTAGTATTCCTAGTAATGTTAACCTGAATTTAGTATTCCTAAATAACTACCGTAAGCATAATCTCTCCCTATTTGTTCCTTTTATGTGCAGATGCTTTCTCAGGCTTATTATCTAAAGCTGCACATGAGAAGAAAATACATGGGGTGAGGATTTGCAACTCTGCTCCGAGGGTGTCCCATCTTTTTTTGCCGATGACAACATTCTCTTTGCAAAAACTACTATGCAGGAATGTTCGAAAATAGCTGAGATTATTAGTTTATATGAGAGAGCATTTAGTCCGAAAGTCAATCTAGATAAGACAGAGGTGCTTTTAGCAAATGTGTATCGGTAGAAAGAAGACAGACCATTGTTGACACTTTGGGGGTTCGAGAGGTTGATAGACATGAGAAGTATTTGGGGCTCCCTACAATTATCGGTAAATCGAAGAAGGCCATCTTTGCGTGCTTGAAAGAGAAGATTTGGAAAAAATTGAACGGTTGGAAAGAAAAGTTACTTTCTAAGCCGGGGAAGAAAGTGCTAATCAAAGCAGTGGCACAAGCGATCCCAACTTACATGATGAGTATTTTTAAGGTCTCGGAGGGCCTTATTGATGAAATTCATAGTCTCCTATGTCGATTTTGGTGGGGGGTCTACTGTAAACAGTAGGAAAATGCATTGGCAAAGTTGGGAGAAACTGTGTCTACCTAAAGCAAAAGGGGGAATGGGAGGCTCGGTATTTCAAGAACTCAAATGTGCTAGCTGCAAATAGAGGATACGATCCAAGTTTTACTTGGAGGAGTTTGTGGGGCACAAAGGGCTTACTTCGGGATGGTTTAGCTTGGAGAGTTGGAGATAGGCGTGACATTAAAGCTTGGAAGGATGCTTGGTTGGTGAAAGATGGCAAGTCTATGCTGTTACAACAACCAGTTGGTTTAGATGAAAATATGATTGTCAATGAGCTGATGACAGAGGGTTTGAAGAGGTGGGATGCTACTAAAATTTGTGAGTTGTTTGATAATGTAACGGCTACCTCTATACTAACTATCCCTCTACCGCAGCATGCTACCAGGGGACAATACATACTGGTGTTATGCAAAGGGTAGTTTTTTCACAGTCAAATCATGCTATTGGTTGGCTAGAGATGTAGCTATGGCTGTGGGAGATGTTAGGGGCAACGAGGATTGTTGGAGATCGGTGTGGAGAATTCAAGGGCCACCTAAGCTTAGTATTTTTTATGGGGAGCTGTCAAAGGGAATCTTGCTGTCAAGGATCGTCTTGTGTGTTGAGGCGTATGGCAGCCCTGATGTGGGCTGCTTGGCGTTACAGGAACTTGATAATTTTAGCGCCCTGATGTAGTGATGCTTGCAGCAGGTTTTTGTAAGCTCGTTGAGGATTACACAGATTGTGCTAAGAAGGTTTTTGCTCCTGTTGTTATAGCAACCATGTCGAGCAGTGTAGTGTGGAAGTGTCCCCCTCAAGGGTGCGTTAAAGCCAACGTTGATGCACATATTCCTGCTGTTGGTAATGCGGGTATGGGGGTGGTTTTTAGAGATGCTGCTGGACGCATCTTGTTGACAGCAACGAAGCTGACTTCCCCTGCTGCCCCTGAGTACATCGAAGCACAGGCTGTCAGATATGCCCTTAATCTAGCTAGCAGGTTTGGTTATAGGAACGTGTGGGTGGAATCGGATGCTATTAATGTCATTAAAGCTATCTCTCCTGAAACTGGTGGACGTGCCCCAATTCATGTCGTGTATGATGATATTAGATTAGATAGAGCGTGTTTCAATGTTTGTCTCTTTTCTCATGCCAAAAGAAATTGTAATACAGTAGCTCACCTAGATGCTAGGGGGATAGGGGGGAATGAAGAGCTTATTCGGTTTAGTGTATTCCCTCAAAGTATTGTAACATTGGCAGAGATAGACTTATCTCCCTAATTAATATATGCCTCAATCTTTCTTTCAAAAAAAAAAAAATATTCCTAATAATACACGCTTTAATTAATTGGAAAACAATGAAAATACCTACTGCCCCTCCTATTTACTCTCCATGTACCTTCCCTCCCACATTTCCCTCCTTTATTTAATAAAGGTTCAATTTCCACCATATTTGACTTATATATACATGCTCCTCTTTGCTATGTCATTCTTAGGATTTCTTCTGTTTCTTTTTTCTTTCTCACTTTATCAAGCAATTCCCACCAAAGGTTCAAAGCTACGGTATTACACTTTCTACAAACATGAGAGCAAATAAAACTATTAAACATTGGGCTATCTTTTCCAATATCATCAAAATTTAGATAAATAGGAGAAAAACTAGTTGGGGCGTTATTGACAACAAGCACTACATTAATTGCATTGCTTTCGACCCCGACTTGTAGGCTTCATGAACAAAAGCATCAGAGGAGACCACTGATACACATTAGAGCACTAACCTTTTTCAATCAACAAAGAAGCACTAAATTTCCTGGAAATTTGCTTCACTCGTGCATCAATTAGGGTTTCTCAGAGACAAAAACAGGGGAGAGAGTTAGAGGAAGAAGATGAACGATCAAAAAGACTTTCTTTAATTTTGGCAGTTAGCAGGGGGGCAATTTACTCAAGTCATGTTAAGTCAAATTTGTTGTTAATTAACTTCCTTTTAAAAAAAATTAAAAAAAAAATATTACTAATGTTTGATTAACACTATACTTACTGTTGTTAATCAGGGTTATATTTGGGTGTATCATTGATAATAAAAGTTTAATGGTGTGTAGCAAAGATAAAAGTCATACCATCCAGGAAATAAGACTTCTTTTTAAGCATACCAGCCAAGCTACTACAATTCCAAATATACAACATGGACTAATAACACGAGAGTAGCAATTTAATAAAAAAGTCTACATTGTCGGATCCAAGGTGAATAAATTAAGTACTAATAACATGCCTTAATAAATTATGATTGCTCTGTTACAATCGCTATTGCAGCTAAAATCAACACATGACTTTCAACATCAACACAGCTCTTCACAATTCCAACTTAGACATGAAGCTCGTTCATTGGCCCTCAAGATGCAACAGACCTATCTGCAGGTAGGCACGCAAAACAACAAATGAGAAGTTCAGAACTTACATAACTTTTTATGCTAAAGGCATAATAGACCGAGCATTTCTTGGTCTCTACCAACTTGAGACCAAGTTGGTCTCTAGTAAAAAAAAAAAAAAAAGCATAATACAAACAAAATAACTGAAAGAAAGAAAAGAAAAGTACAGCAGGAGGGACCTTTTCTTTTTCCTCCCCCTCCAAAACTTTGAGCCCAAAATCATGGCGGGATCGAAATTCCCCAAAATTTTCCCTCCTCTTCAAATTTTTGGGGAAAAATTAATGGAGTCCCCTCCATTTTTTTTTGAAGGGCCGACTTGAGCAATAAACCAGCTGGGAGGAGGTGGGGTGTTTGCAAGTGTTCAAAGCCAATTTTCGTGGGAAACCCTTAGTTTTTTGATAAATTAATTCGCGCAATTTGAGTTAGAACTCATCAATTAATCCGTGAGTTGAAGAAGCTTAGCGGTAGGCGAAATGAGTTATGATAATTTTTCGAAGGAAATTGAGATGATTGAGGTAAGTGTTGCTTTCTATTTTCGGAATTGTTTTAGTAAATGTTGTTAGTAGAACTGAATTATAGGTAGTGGTTAATAGACATGAATTATAGCTTTGCATGGATTATTAAAAATTCTATTTATTTGGCAAAGCTCAAATATATATAGGGAGTTAAGTTATCTTTGTGATTGTAATTGAGATGATATGAACTAGTTTCAATTGGACTGAGTTGGAATTGCATAAGTTATATATGGTTCTGTTCCTATGTTAATCTTAATGGAGTTGTTTCAATTGAACAAAATTCTTGAATTACAGAAGAAGGTGGATATTAATGAATGATATAAAGTTGTTTTGTTATGTGTGGTAGTTGGGTTGTTATTGTTTTGGTGAAATTTGAAATAGATTAAAGGTTGTGGGAGGGATAGATTGATTTGATTACAAGTATATGATCTTGCAGTTGTCTGAATTATGTTTTGGTAGGAGTGTCTTAATCTTCTTGTGTTGTTGCTGTGTAATTTATTATTATAATGTGAGAGGAGTTAGTTTTGATTAATATTTGGATTGTTTGGGTAGGATTGTAATGTTCAGAACCACAACCATGTTATGGAGGGGAGCACATATGTTAACTGCAGTTCAGATAGCTCTTCAGATAGTGATGATAGTTTGCAGTTTGATTTGAATGAAGATCTGAATATTGATGGTGGGGAGATTTTTTATTTGAATAAGGCCCCTGGTGGTTGTAGCATTCCCCATTTGAATAAGGACCCCGCTGATTGTAGCTTTTCCGGGGATGGTGGTGAGTTGAATAATGATTGTGGACACTTATACAGTTCAGGATCGGGTAGAAGTATAGGGGCAGCTGCAGTACCTCATCCAGAAGTAGGAATGGAGTTTAGTACATGGGACAACATGAATAATTACTATCGTACATATGGAGAGCAAGAGGGATTTGGGGTTGTGTGTATAGGTGGGAGAAATAATGATGTTTACAACAAAGCGGCATATAGCACTTATGTTTGGAAGTGCGAGTGTTATGGAATTACAGCGTACAAGAAGAGGGTTAATGGGAAGAGGGTTGTGGTGTATGACGAGCCATCGAAGAAGAGGAAGAGTAAAAAATGTGACTGTCCAGTCATGTTGTATGGGCAAGGGCACAGTGATGGTGTGTGGCAGATTAAGAAAGCGGTTAATGAGCACAATCACAGTGTGAATCCTGAGCTATCAAGGCACATTGCAATGTACAGAAAGCAAAAGATTACGAAGCATTTGGAGCATAGGATTGAAAATGACCATTCCTCTGGTGCCTCAGTAAGTTAGATATTCAACAACATGGCGGGCCAAAGACACGGAGTGGAGAATGTTGGTTTTACGAAAAAAGATATTCATAATTTGGTTAATAGGAAGAGGAGATTGAAGTTAAAAAATGGTGATGCCTCGGCTATGCTTGAGTATTTTGATAGAATGACTGTCGATAATCAAAATTTTTTCCACATGCATCGGGTTGATCACAAGGGCCGATTGAAAGACATCATGTGGGTTGATGCTAGGAGCAGGGAGGCGTATCAGTATTTTGGAGATGTTGTCTGCTTTGACTCCACTTACCTTACTAACCAATACGAACTTCCCTTTTCGAACTTTGTTGGTGTCAACCACCATGGTCAGACAATCCTATTAGGCTGTGCTTTGGTATCACATGAGAATGCTGAGACGTTTGAGTGGCTATTCAAGACATGGCTTTCTTGCATGAGGGGAAAGCGCCCGGCGGCTATCATGACAGATCAAGATGCCGCGATGAGGAAGGCAATAAGAGTCGTATTCCCAATGCCAGAAACACGGCATAGGTGGTGTATGTGGCACATCATGAAGAAGTTTGGTACAAAATTGGGTGCTCTATCTGATTACCAAGATGTAAAAGATGCATTGCAGCATGTGATCTACAACAGCATTACACCGGATGAATTTGTTGAATCTTGGTGGGAAGTGGTGAATAAGTTCAAGCTAGAACAGTATGACTGCTACGAGTGGCTGGAAGGTCAGTAGCATGAATAAGTTACTCCTTAAAGTCATGTATTTTGTTGCCGCGCTATAGGATTAAATTAATTTCTGTTACTGAAATGATCAGACACACTCTGAAATCTGCGCTGTCACTGAAATAAGTTGAAACATTTTTATGATTTCTGCACTGTTGTTGGTTGACTGAATATTTTTCTGGATATATGTTCATAACTTAACATAAACAAGATTAATGCTGAGTTATTTATTTTAAAAACCATGCTGGTTTTGTGTTGTGGTTACTATTGATGCATTTTGCTATTTATGTTGGTCTGTCCCTTGTTCCTGATCCCCTTCCCTTGCATGCTGTTTTTCTGTTTTTAAAGCTGGTGGTGTGCTTTGCTTCATGCTATTATTGTTGTGGGTAGGTTTGTACGAGGAGCGAGAGATGTGGATCCCTGCATATGTGAAAGGTGTGTTCTGGGCAGGAATGCAGACAACTCAACGTGTTGAGAGCATAAACAGTTTTTTTTATGGTTATATTAACAGGCACACCCGATTGTATGAGTTTGCTCCTAATTACTGTAAGGCGATGGAAAGCCGAGCTAATGATGAGCAGGAAGCAGATGCTAATTGTGCACGTTTCGTTAGGCCTCTAATATCGGAATTTTCGTTGGAACGTAAATTTCAGAAGGTGTATACGGATGCGAAGTTTGTGGAAGTACAAAACCAGTGCAACCGTGTAGCATATCTCACCCTTGTGTCCAAGAAGTCAGTGTCACATAATGAGGAGGAGTATGTGTTTTCAGATCGTGTGTGGATTTACTGCAAGAAAAAGAAGAAGGAGACTCCCCTCAAAGGTCGGTAGAAGGAATACACTGTTATGTATAATATAGAAAGAAAAGAGGGAAGCTGTGACTGTCGACATTTTGAATGTCATGGAATTATTTGCAGGCATATCATAAAGGTGTTAGACATGAGTGGAGTCACTGAAGTTCCATCCATGTACGTTGTGGATAGGTGGAGAAAGGATATTAGTAGGAAACATACGCTTGTTAAAGTTGCGTATCATGATGCATCAAAAACAGAAGAGGTTCGAAGATATGATAAGCTGATGTTAGCCCTTGAACCTATTGTATTGCGTGCTTCTGCTTCGGATGAAGCTGTAGAAGTGTTAATGGACTTGATTCAGCTAATGAGCCTGAAAGTTGATGAATTACATGTGATGGTTGATGGGTCAGGCCAAGGTTCGGGTGGGGATGGGGAAGAAAGGCCTAGTGGTGAACTGGAGCCTGTGAAACATGTTCCTCCAACTCCCAAAACCCCAAGCTCAGTTAATAAAGGTAGTGTTGTTGGTTCCGCGGATACACCAAATTCTTCTACATGTGTGAAAGATCCTGAACCTCAGGGTAATAATAAGAAAAGGGTAGACCTCGAGCAACACGGTACGTATCCCCAGCGGAAAAGGACATGGCTAAGGCTGCGAAGACAGGGGGTAAGAAGAAATAGGGCAGTAGACAACCACAGCTGGGGATACCCAACATCCAGCTAGTGAGTTCATGCAACAACAAGTAAGTTTTTCTGATTTAAGTGTTTGATTTTTATGGGAACATTTTTTTTGGATTATTTAGTAATGGTGAAGTAATCACATTTATGTGCAGGTTGCTTTCCCAAATGTAGCTCCTCCATCTCGCCATCATATTGGGGATATGTTTCCCAATACTCAGGTACGTGAAATAAATTAGTTGAATGGAGTTTTATGTCCAAAGTGTCATGTTGAGTCTGTAAGTGTTGGTGTTTGAGATAGTGAATATTCACATTCATTTGTTGGTAATATATAGCTCAACCAAGGATATTATGCTCGTGACCCGTTGCTGTTCACCGGAAGTGGGAGTGGCCCTTCCCCATCGGTTAACAGGAGGATGCTAGCTGGTGGGATTCATATGAGCCAACATAGTGAGGCAGTTGGTTACTTCACCGCCAACAATGCGTACAGTGAAGTCCAGTTTGGGAATGGTAGGCATTTTATCAACCCGGCATATGTGCCCAACACGAGCATACAGCGTAATACGCATATGCAAAATCCACATCCCAATTCTTCATTACATAATACTTGACTTTAGACGTACTCAACATGTTTGTCCTGACGTTATAAATCAGTAAATATTTTAGTGTAACTTTGTTATTATTTATTATTTATTATAGAAACCCCTTGTTACTGTCTGAACTGGTTGTGCATACTAATACAGACCCCTTGTAATTGTCTGAGCTGGTTCAATACCAAAATTGGTCAGGATGGTATGTAACATGCATACCGATGGTATGCATTACATACCATCCATCCGTTAGAAGGTATGCAAAAGAACAATTACACATACCATCCAAGGGATAGATTCTGTATATCTATGCTACATCAAAACCAATCAGGATGTAAATCATACCATCATCCACAGAATATCGACTCACGTGTTTGTTTATCTTGCATGTACTTGTGGATAATGTAATCCAAGTCATTATGTAGATATCTATTCCACTACCCCTTATATATAAGCAGATTAAAGTTGTTTTGTTCATTCAAAACTAGTCAAAAACTAAACTAAAAATGATTCAAAAATGTAAGACCAAGTGTCAAAGATTAGACTTGCTCTTAGAAGGTGGTTTACGGTGAGGTAACCGAAATTTACGGTGAAAGTGGGGTGGGTAAAACACAAATATGTTTGCAGTTGAGGGTTGTCGTGCTTGACTCTATAGCACAATTATTCCGGCATGATCATGATAACACATCAAAAGGATATCTCGCACGTCACCGGTTGTTAGTTGCTGTAGCGAGAAAAATGAAACAAATCGCTAAAAGTTACAACATTGCATTCATTGTGGTGAACGAGGTAACCGATGTATTTTTCTCTCCAGATGCTTGGGGGAGCTCTTGCAAACTTTCACTTCAGGGCGGGAAGTGAAGCCAGCCTTGGGGACTTCTTGGGGGGAAGGTCTGATTCCAAATAATATGTTCATTTCGAAGCAATTCAACAGAGACACTTAATCATGGTACCGGGAGTGGATGGTAATACAGAGCAGCACTTCACACCTACAAGGGCGTCGTTGTGCTTTTAGGATAACAGCCACGGGATTGTCAGATTAGATACACTGATTCACCTTAACTGGCTGATTATACCATCCCAGACGTAGATATTACCAGTTGTATTACCATACTAGCTACCAGTTGTATTGCGCATGTATTTATGTATGGGGGGGTGTTAGCAATAAAAATGTCTTTTGTGGATAGTGTGATTATATTGAATACCATCCTATTGTTGGATGGTGTACTTGAATTCGATATAAATACCATTGTGGATTCGGATAGTATAATAACATGTAGTCTGAACAAGAGATACTCGTTTAATCCGTACATGACATTTATAGCGTACACACCAACTTAAATCAAAGCAAAGTGCATCAGAATAAATACATTCTACCTAGGATTGTACTTGCAACCCTCCAAAGCAACCCGGCAAAACAAAACAACAGTGAGTCACTTAAAGCTTCAACTTCCCCAAGGAACAAACTTTGCTAAATTGTTACATATCTGATATTTGAACATGGAAAACAAACCTTACGAACATGGTGACTCTTCGTCATCACTCAAAATAACCACAAGGAGCATGACCCGTCGGTACACGTATGCCGAGAAAGGAAAAGCTAAAGTGGAAGATTTTGATATATGTAAGGAGCTTGAAGAACCCGGAGAACGGGATGTGAAGGGTTCCATCGGTGCGATTGCTCTCGAGAATCGGTCAAAGAGTCTAATTCGGCCATTTCAAATTGCTGTTTTTAGTGGTAAAGGTTCGGGTGCTATATAGGGATTAAGGTATCATCCCGATTATCCTTATTTAACACTTCTACAACTAGGACCACCATCAGAGTTCAAAAAAGATGCATATTGTTTCTTGTTTCACCTACTAGATGTCTACAAAATGGCTTTTATTTTTGATGTGGTGAAGCTAAAAAAAGTCTTGCCAAAATGCATGCAAAATAAACGTGCATACAATTGGTTGGGGAAATTCTTTGCCTTGTTTAAGCCACTTGAAGCTTGGTTGGAAGATGTTCATGAACACCTTGAGAAGAATGTGCTGGAGTTGGGTAGATGGGGTATAGTTATCTTAGGCCGCAAGTTTTCCGGCGAAAGTGGGGTGGGTGTTCATGTTGCCGATAAGATCAACATCACATTTGAGTGGGTGAACTTCTCCCATGAAAATTTGAGGTACGAACTCCAAGATGACGAGGAAAACTTCCTTACGTTCAAAAACATGATGATGGAGGCGAATGGGTTGGATGTTATGGAAAACATGGATATTCTACTTACTAATCCATACTTAACCGATCTCCATCCTGAATATTACAAGAAACAAATGGATTTGGCTGCCAAGAAGATGACGAACCGGCTGTTTTGGGATTCGGATTTAAGTTCTGGAACGGAGTACACCACCACAGACTCGTCCGACACGGATGGTAGTGAAGAGATCTGAGACCATCCAGTCTTAGGTTTAGATGGTTTCGTTACACATAGTTGTTGAGTCACAACATAAGTGTCGTCGATACCAACTACCTGAATTTAATATCTAAAAATACCATCAACGTTTTGTTGGTACCATGGTTATTTGGTGATCTTGTTCTGAGTACTGTTAATTTTTAGTTTTAAGTATTCTGTGTGCTTGGTGTATCTGGATTTTAGTTGTCTAATTTATTTGGAAATTATTACTTAAAAATACCATCAGTTATGTACTTTATGTTGTTTTGTAATTTGGGTAATAGTTGTGGTTAAGATTTTCCCCTTATTTTCGATGGGTGCAAAGTTTTAGTTCATTATCATTTTAGTTGTTTATTCACTCGGTTTTAATTCCATAAGAGACGAGCCTCAAGTGGAAGGAAGAGTACGGAATCGTGGATATTAACTAACACCGCGATATATGAAGTGCGTATACGATGTTGACATGGTGTTGTAATACCACTGCGTTACAGTACCATTTAAGGCGTTGTTGGTATTCGCCACTGGCACATTGCATTACAAAAGTAATCAAATAATACATTGCATTATAAAGGCAATAAGATAATAGCTAATAAATAAAAACCATCCAACATCTGCACGGTATTATCTTAATTGGAAATTAACACTAAAAATATCGAAATTGTTAAGTAGAGCGGTGTCAGCAAAACGTGTACTACAAACCCTTGGGTATAGCACCAACTTTGAGACCAGAACACCAACTACACCTATGAATGTGTTAACTATCAGTACGATCTACAGTCCTACCTGTCATGATGGTATAATTACAGTGCCATCTACGGTGAAAATGGTACACTACTGTAGTCAATTACTGTCTTAGTTTGCTGATTTTGATTATTGAATCAAGGCACAATCTACACGGTCACTCCTGTCTTACTATCAGTTTGTCATTTGGATGGTATGATTAGGGTACCCAAGTTCAAGATGGTACTTACTTACACAGTTGTTGAATTTATCAAAAGGAACTCACATGACGATCTACCTTGTAGTCATTACTGTGTAGTTGAATCAATATGGTACTTACGTACACAATTGTTGAATCAAGGGATAGAGGCCCTTTACTGCATTATAATTACAACAAAAGGCTATTAGAAAATAAATGTAAGTGCAATATTACAAAAATTCGTACGTCTGTTCATATTTTTATAAAATAAGGAATTTTTAAAGATACCAAGTACAAATTTGGAGTTGAACTGAACTGAGTTGAAATTAAGCTGAAGTGAACATGCCCGTAATCATAAATATTAGCAAAAATAAAATAGCTACGCACTCTCGTGACAAACTTATTTTATGTCATAAATTTTCATTAACACTCGGCATGCATGTACAAAATAATTATATATATGCCACGATCTTAATGAATCAAGAAGATAAAACAAAGTTATTACATGTGTATTTACCAATATGCCCAAAAACAAGATCAGTAAAGGAAGAACAACCAGGACCTCCAGCGAACCAACCCAAAACTGGATCAGTTTCTGGGTTTTTCTCAGACTGTATGAAGTAGTAAAATAGTTGCACTTCTCCCCAAACTTAGTACCATCTATGGTTAGGATGATATATTTAAGGTAACATCTATGGCAGAAGATGGTATACTAAGGTACCATCTATGGTCATTGTGGTATATTTCACGTACCATCTACGGTCAGTATGGTATATTACATGTACCATCTATGGTCATGATGGTATAATTAAGAGTAATAAGGTACCAACTACACACATATGGTATATTTAATGTACCATCTATGGTCAGGATGGTATAATGAAGAATATTAAGGTACCATCTACGGTCAGGATGATATAATTAAGTAACCATATAATGGTCAAATAACCCCATACAAAGATTTCTAAATCGACTTATCATATACTAAGCGCGGACTTATCATATACAAAGCCGGTGTGTGATGAAATCGTTCTACGACCAACCAGTTTCCCAAAAATAGGTGCAGATAACACACCATTACCACCTCAAAAAATTAAGTACGTAACCCCAGAAAAATTGTAACACAATTTCAAACACCCCATTTCTAGAACAGCACAACTAACGCCCGTGGGCTTTGGTAATAAGGCCATCAAGTTCCTGTCGCCGTTCATTACATACTGATCGGAGGTCTTCAATTAGCAACTGCATCCGTCCAGATTTGACGTCATCCTGCAACATTGACCAAAGCTCAACAAAACAACATAAGTTTCATATTTAACCAATACAAAACAAAGTCAATAATTCGATTTGAGTTTCATACGGTACGAGAGACTAACCATCTGCCACCTAGTCCTAAATCGGTCAGTACTGTCCTTGATGCACGCTAGCATCACCACTCCACAACAAACACTACAACCAAGTTTATCAAACACCCACGTTACGCAATGTTTTAAAGTTATCACAAAACACCTAAATATATTTCAGTGGGGTAAAAATAAGCAAAATTAATTTCAATGTGAAACACACAGGTTTGGCTGTTGAACGACACGTAATGACTCGATAGGCCATGCTCCAATGGAACCCTCGGGCCAGGTCTGATCGTGATACTTCACCAGCACATCCACTGCAGTGACCTACAACAGTGAAACAATAACACCTAATATCACCGCTAATTCAGGGATGTAATCAAGCTGTAACACCTAATAACCAAATTGCAAATAATATGCTTATACCAGTTTGCTTAGATATTCGTTGTGTTGCGCAACAGGATCAGCAAAAATCGAGTCAATGATCCAAACCTTTTCTTCCTTGAAAGAAAATGCGGCGCACCACCAATGATCCTCCTTCACAACTGGCACGAATACCTGTACATCACAAAACAAAACCTCAAACTCTCACATCAAAACCCCTAAAATTAAAAACTGTATTAAAAAGAAATTCTCAAACTCACCACAGCTAGTTGACTAGCAGCTACACCCCGCATTGGTTGGCCGTGCTTTTTGGCAAGGACTGCGGGAGTGTCCATGTCAGTTACCAACTTAATCTGCACATAAAACCATAAACATTAACAAAACATGTTCTGCATTATGACTACATGTTTTGCATTAAATGACATTGACAGACCCCATAAGCAGGATGCATCATGATCCGTTTGCTATGGCCTTCATATTTAATAGCCCATTCCTTTGTATACATCTTTGACACAACACAAACGTACTGGGTACCCACTTTCCTCCGAGAGTGAAGAACATCATGACAAGAATCCCGACAAGCAAATTCTCCATCACATTGCAACATGATTGGACCACTAATGCAACAAGTACGGACTTCAGTAGTTGTATCCAAATTATTAACATAGTTCAATTACAACAACACAAAATTCAATTATTTACAAATTATTAACATATATCACAGTACATATTCTATAAATGCAGATGATCTTATATTGAACTTCAATAATTACCTGCCACTTTGGGAAGTCCACGATCTGCAATAATTGATAAGGGTGGTGTCTGCAGACCCTAACGTACTAGTCTTTCGATTACCACAAATGTATTCATCAGAATAGACCTTAGAAGACGGCTTCAATGCTCGCTTCCCAACGCTTCGGTCCCGATTACTCTCCTCTTCTCCTGCACCATTTTCAGAACCTGCACCATTTTTCCCTTCCTCAGGCACTTCCTTCCCCTTCCCCCCTACACCAGATACATCATCTATTCTTTTGTCCCCAACTATCTCATCCTGCCCCTCATTCCCTACAACAGCGGGAGCTACAACTGAGGGAGCTGCTTCACTGATTTGGGACTGATCCACAATACCTCCCACAACACCATCACCATGATCTGCCACCGTACCAAATTTTTCAGTCACGGCTGAGGTTACTTCTTCAACCACATGTGCTATCGGGTCTTTTGAACTCATACCAACCACCTCCTGCAACTGTCTGTACGTCTCTTCAAGCTCACCCTTGTTCACTTGGTGACCTCTCCTTAGGAGCATTCCTAACAAACCCCCTGTTAGCAGCATTGAACATGCTCTCAAATTTCTCCAAACACGGCTTCAACATTTTCAGAACCTACAAATAGCATAAAAAACAGAACATAATAACTAACCCAAAATATAACTACTGATAACATTAACACAACATCTACTTATAATCAATGCCCATTAATTCTTGCTAAAACTTTAATACATACATTAATTATGAAAAATTACTAATAACCTACAAATTTAAAATACCAAATTTAAATACATGATAAATTCTAAATCGAATACCTCCTTTCCAACCCTCACTTCTAATGAATCCGCGGAGTCCCTAGGCTCCCATGGATGGCTTTCCCCGTACGCTACGTCAAGCAACTGACCAAAAAAATACAAAAAACAAATCAACAACATGGAAAAAGGGATTACCAACAGAGGGGGGAAGATTGGTTTGGCACACCACTTGGACTTACTTTCAATTTTCCATAATCTAAAGAAGGCAACAAGTCCGCATGAATAGATGCACTAATTTTCTTCTCAGTCCACACATCAATTCTCGACAGTCTGCCCCAACTCAGTGGAGGCAAGGCAAGATGATCAAGATACAAAATCTACAACAACAAAAGTAATATGAGTCCATTTGTACACATAACAGAAATAAATACACAAGACAATCCAAACTTAGGAAACTCACCATTAGAAATAGGCCACATCCACCCCCACCAGCAGCATACCCTTTAGGGTCAAACCTTTTGTGAAAGTCACACACAGCACCCATCAACCCAGCTGTGCACACAAGAACACCAGTCATACTCACTAGCAGCAGTTGCTCTGACCATTAGTCGTAGGACACAAAATCCACCCCAACACAACTATTAGAAACGCCCTCATAAAATGGTCCTTCTCCTCCTCTGTTCCAATTGGCATCAATCCTAAACAATCATACGCCCTTTGAATCGAAATATTCTCTCGCCCACTAGCATTCACCTCACCAAAATTCCTAACAATGTCGTCAACTTTACTCTGCATGACTGGATCCTCAACAGTATCCGGCACAGGTTTTGGACCCCGTGGAAGATCAAATATACACCTCCATTGCTCAGTTCCTAATGGCAACTCCGTCCCATCACCTCCAACAAATATCCTCCTCTCATGATCTACCCTCGTCATGAGCCAGTAACAAAACCTGCGATCAATTTTTTTAACTTTCAACTTCAACAACCCGCCAAACCCACACCTCTCCACGAGGTCAATTTTATCCTTCTCAATTGTCAACACACTTATCAGGTCACAAAAAGCAGAAACACGGCAATTGTAATTTGCTGACTGCTCCCAAATTCAAACAAAAAAGGCCATCATTAGAATTTTAAGCACAACAACTAAACATACATTACCAGTTAAAACAGAATTTTAAGCTCAGTTTACCTTCCCACACATCCTCAACTGCGTACTAACCACAACCCCGTTCATTTTCACCTTCTCACCGACCGATGGTCCCGGTTCCAGATCAATCTACACAATCATAAAACAAATGCATTATTATATACTCAACACCTAACTACAAACTTTTTTAACACACTTATTACTTTACTACACCTGATCATCTTGTTCTACTACAAATCGTCGCCTCTGTACTGGTGGCTGCCTATCCACATATTGCCTCTGTACTGGTGGCGGCCTCTCCACATATTGCCTTTGTACTGGTCTCTCCACATATTGCCTCTCTACTGCTGCCGGCCTCTCCACATATTGCCTCTCCATTGCGCCCTGCGGCCTCTCTACAAATTGCCTCTTTGCTGCTGCCGGACGCTTCACCGTTGTAATTATCCTCTTCTGTTTTTGAACAGGTCTGCTGCGAGTAGTAGTAGTGGCCAGAGTATTTTCTTGCTCAACCACTTTCCGCTTACGCCCGCTACGAGTACGTTGTACGTACTCCACCTCTTCCTCGTACTCACCACCTTCTAACTCATCCTCTGGATCATCTTCTTCGACCTCTTCTCCAATATAATCATCCTCAGAACGTTCTTCACTGACCTCATTTGTATCCTCAGGGTCTTCTTCTGCATCCTCAACTACTACATCCTCGACTACAGCTTTCAATTTCCTCTTATCCGTTTGATTGCTAGAAGAAGTCGCAGGTACCTTTTTCATGATTTTTTTCAAGCTACCCTAAAAATCACGGAGAACATTTTAGACAACCGGCTAATTTAGAAGCTAATACATACAAACTTAATACAACACAACTTCATTACACTCACCCCCCAATTACGTCTGCAGCTTATTGAGGAGTCACCGGACCTCTCCGACACCATAACTAGAACAACGGAAAAATACACTTCATTAAATACAGGAATTGAAATCCCCCCCCCCCCACACACACACATATCTATAATGAAAACACCACATCAACGGTACCTAAGCCTAACATTTTCACCAAAACAACCACAACATGATGGTATCTAATATAGCATATATATGACTACAAACCAATACCAACCAATTCAATACCAAAAACTGCATATTAAAGCACCATTATCGACTACTACAAAAATTTGGCAATGTTCGCCCATTTTCAATCACATAACCAATTCTTAACACGAAAAAGGGAATATATATCGTATATAAAAAAACTACTCCATATCAAGAATGCTAACTTGCTAAATGAGGAGCATAAACCTTGGCATAAAAAAGATAAACAAAAAAGGATATCTCAAATGAATTCGAGGCCAACATGCACATGCCACAACAATGCACCAGCAGTAGAAGATAGAAGTTCAGCACAGGTATATGAACAAGATGTAACCAAATTCAATCAAGGAACCAAATCTTCTTCACTATGTCAAAATGATCTACAATCCAAGACAATAGATATTCAACTAAATCACCAAAAAATACCAACAACAACACACCAAGAAATCCATTTACGCCACATACTCCATTCCAGAAAACATATTAAACATAAAAGAATCCCTAATTCACATATTTAAATCATCAACTTCCAACAATTTACAAATTCTCCACACCAGAAACAAACTCAACAAAAAAAAATCCCTAATTAATCCCTATTCATCATCGTAATTCAACAAAAATCCCTAATTCATCATCGTAATTCAACAAAAAATCCCTAATTCACAGCCTCGTAGCATCGTAATTCAACAACGTACAAATGCTATACACTAATTTTTTTAACTAACCAACAAAAACCCCTATTCATCATCAAAATTTAAACAAACAAAACTAAAAGGATGAAAAAACCCTAACTATACACAACAAAAAAATAAAAACAGACTTACCAAGAAGTGTTCGACAATGCTGCTTCCAGATCGTCCCCTACGAGCTACAATTCTCCGGAATGGGATTTCTTTTGAATGGAAATTCTTGAGTTCTTTACAATTTCTGATCTCCTCGCCAAAAACCCTCAAAATGCTTTCTCTCTCCAATTTTTACACTTCAAATTTACTGAACACAATTGGGCCCACATTCCTTTTTCTCTATTATTACAGAAGGAAAGCTTTTATGCGGAATTACCTTCTTACCCTTACTAGAGACCAACTTGGTCTCAAGTTGGTAGAGACCAAGAAATTCTCTAATAGACTTTCCATATCACAACGTGATAGCTGTAGAAGTCAAACTGTACTATGAGAATTCTGGTGCATTTTCTTATACAGGAAAATTACAATGAATAAATGAAGAGCAGGACTAGTATTTAAACATATTTTTAGGAAGAGAAAGGGGGGAAGAATCCGGAAGATGCTTCACTTAAGGCATCCCAAACTCCAATTCATGAAGAGAACTTCATCAAATAATTATTTTTTAGAAATTGAAGGCATGACTTTTAAGCTATCAATCAATGGTGTTGGCTGCTAGAACTCATACTAAAGCCGTACTACTTCACAACAGCTGTTCACAACCTTTTGCTTAGGAGTTGAACACCCATCAGTACTAGCACAGGTTGTGTTCAAATACAACCAGCTAGTATAAGCTTGTTTACACACAGAAAAAAAAGGAAGATAGTTCTACCACCCAACCCAACTAGGAAAACAACCCACAATCATGCACGACTGATATAGACTGAAATCTTCACAGTGATGGGCAATAATGTTTTTATGGAACTTCTAAATTGTAGAGAAATTCAAAATTAAGATGTCATGCCAAAATCAGACAACGATTTAACCTTCTTTTCTTGTACCAATTCTCAAGATTACATATCCATCACAACTCATACGCTTAATTCTACATTTTGTAATGACTGCTTAATTCCGCATTATATTAATGAGCATACATAAGGAAGAAAAAAATGAAAAGAGACATAGGAAATGGAAGAAATGGAATATGGTTCAGGTTCATTATCCATAATGGATGCAAAACCTACCCTCAACTCCAAGACCCTATGAACATGGTAAGAGTGATGACATTTGATGCAGAAACTGGTATTAAAATAGTCCAACAGGTACAATTTGAAGTTCACCCCAAATACGAGAGAGCAGGGGACAGGGAAGAGGGTAGATACCTTGAAGTAAAGCTTAAAAGACAGAATTAGACTAAATGAAGGCCTGACTCAGGACATAGATCAACTATTGAACAGTAATGAAAAACAAGAGTAAAAATCAACAACTACGCATCTCATGAGTTGGAGAGACAAATGTGCAGCATTACAGGAATTCATTCACCTGTACTTTTTCAACCAATTTTATGTTCAAGAGAAGCTTAAACGATAGAAAGTTAAGGACACAAAGGCTTGATTGATTCATGACATGTTTGAACTACTGAACAAGCAATGAAAAAGTTGAGGAGCATTTAGGCTCCGTATGTTTTGATGGAAAACACTTTCTAAAGGTGGAAAACAAATAAACAATTTATAAAGTATAAAAATAATATGCAAGAAGATTAACATACAAAGAATGATTGTCAATAGTCAAGAGTCTTGTAAATGCTTCTATCATAGAAATTACGCAAGCAAATATAAACTAATTGAACACATTATTTATAATGATCAAGAACATGTTACAATTGAATAGCCTTAACAAAAGGTTAGTTAACTAGCATACCTAGACAGGGAGGTAGAAATAAGTACTGCACTGAGAGGGGAGATTATAGTGTTGGGAAGAAAGCGGAGTGACAAGAACCTCCTTAGAGTTGGCATTCAAGTTGACGAGTTGGACTTTGAATTGGACAATATGATCAAAGGCGGGGTTCACGTCAGCGGAAAAGATCAAGCACAGCACGCCATTGCACCGATGTAATAAGGTACGATACCTGGTATAAATAAGATAAGATTGATAGTCGCCTTTAGCCTCAGCCTCAGGGGACAGTCTTACGTTCAACCATTCTTTAGTGACTGTATCATAAGCCCTAAAGAATGCCTTCATTATAGGATTATGAATATAGATAACCCCATCGTCTGCGATAGTCACGGCCTCTCCTCCCGTAAGCCATCCACCATTAAGGTCCTCAACCAGACACCGCCATTGATCCTCATATGGATAATAGGCATACATCGTTGAGATATACTGGAAGTACGTTATGATTCTGTTTCTTTTGTGATCCGCCATAACCGGAAGAGTTAGTGTGCGGTAATCAAACAACTGATCCCCATCCCCACACGGTGGCGGTGGGAACGGAGGCGACTTTAAGCGACGCCACTTACTATGTTGAGGATCGAAAACCTCGCAAACAAAACCAAATTCGGAGTTGTCAAAAATATAAATCTTCCCACCAAATTCGATGACATCTTCTGGCCACGACTGATTGACCCTTGCGGCTGGTGACTGATCGAGCCCAGCGGTGGCTAGTCTCCAACCATGAACCATCTTTAGGTTTGGTAAGATCTAGCATATGACATGAGAATAAGCCTTGTTGTTTCCTCTTACCTTTATTGGGTTTTGATTTTGCGGAATCATCACCATCACCGGAGGAGAACGATTTGCCGCCCCCAAAAACATAAAGTTTAGATCCCACAACACCCACGGAAGGCTTACAACCATTACCAACCACGATACGAGGAAGTGATGAGACTTCAGCAGTGTTCAGATCCAAAACATAGTAAACAATATCACGATCATCACGAGGTGCCATAAGTAAAGGGTCCCTGTATTCAACCACCACGCCCCCTACTATCATCTTATTCTTCAATTCCCCTCTCTTTTCCACCACCATTTTTTCCGGCATCTCTCCCTCTATTCAATTCAATTGATACCTAACACAACCAATTTGCGAGATCAGATGCCTTCATTTATACGAAGCATAAGCAATCTAGGGTGGGCTTCTCTTGTGCGGGTAATTGTGGGTTACCTTCTTATCGACAATGATTGGGCTCATGACCCGTATTTTATAAGAGCACTTGTAGACTAGTACTAGTTGTAGACTTGTAGTCATGGCCTTAAAATAATGTCCGTCAATTTCTTTCTATTAATAACTTAATATTAAAATAAACAAGTGTCATATTTTGGTGCAGTTTTTTTCCCTCTAAAATTTCCTTTTCGTTTTTAACTTTTTTTTTAACATTTGATTTTAATTCTATATTAATATCATTTTAAATCTTTTATATTATCTTTATGACAAATATATTCCTTTATTTTACTTGGTGTTCATAATTTTTCTTCTATACACGATCCTTTTTAATGTCTTTCAAATGAATTATTATTATATTTTGCAAAAATGTAATAATAAATTGATTTATATAAGATGTTAAAGAAATTACTTTAAAATAATACTTAATTTTTTTCCAATTCCTCTAGCTAATACTTTATTTCAATTCAATATGACTATAAATTCAAATTAATTATAATTTTGTTTCTGAGATTTTACTAATTCGTATATATTGTTACAAATTAAGGACTTATAGAGTATAGTATAACTATAAAATAAACGTTGTGTTTGACAATTATATCATATGTCTAATTCTAGAAAAAGGTAAAATATCAATTAATTTTAGTCTAATTCTAGAAAAAGGTAAAATATCATATGTTGTTTGATTAATATTTTATATTTTTTAAAAATTTATTTATAAATAAGTATTTACTAATATAGCCACTAGCTAGACTAGATCAAACTAAGCCCCGCCTAAAAAAACTCTCGGGATTAGGCAGCCCAAAAAATCCATTTTTGTTTAATTTTTTGCTTGCCTATTAATATAGATTATGACATTATAATTTCTACATTTGATGTGTATGTTTAATCAAATTTTATTTGTTGGATATTATTCCAAAAATTAAACTTGTCGTGCATGGCACGGGCCTTAAGCTAGTTCGAAACAAATTCTAAACACGGCTTTATTTTTAGGGATGTCAATGTGGCGGGTTAAATAAAAGACCCGCTCTAACGGGTAGGGATGGGTCTCAATTTAGTGGGTGGGGGAGCGGGGATCAATAGTTATTACGTGCAATATGGTGCACCTATTTTTAAATGCACCACATCTATAATTTGTACATTTAATAAAAATTAAAAAAAAAACTGAACAATTAGTGTTTAGGGTAAAAAATACCCCATACGCGTGGTCCAATCCCGCAGCGACACGTGGCCCTGTCAGAGGGCGACACATGGCCCAGTGGGAAGATGACACGTGGCTTGTGTTCACTAGGACACCTGAAATCAGTGCAAAAGAAGGCTGTCATACATCAAGGCCCAAATTCCGAGAGAATGTTCATGAAAGCCGCAAAGCGGCGCCCCGTACTACGCGTGGATGCTCCTGATTGCGTAGCCAATCAGGTTACAGAATTTTAGGGTACAAACCTAAAGGGGCACAAACTCCTACCCCTATAAATACCCTAATCATTTATGATGGGAGGGGTGGATTGTGACATTACCAAAAAACAGAGCATTAAATAGCTCCAACTTCTCTCTACTTACTCTCTCTAGCTTTTCCGTTTCCGATCTCTAACTTGATCGTCGGAGGCGAATATTCCGTGAAAGGAATATTCGTTCATTTTGCAGGTGTCCAAGTCTACTTGCCAGTAGAGCGCTACCAGTGTCCGAGGATATCAAAAAATTACCCGAAACATTTGGCGCTGTCTGTGGGGACACTCGTACGCTATGGCAATAGACGGGAGGCACCGAATACTGGCCCTCGTCCTGGTGAGGACGGCCATGTAGAGCATATAGAAACTACCATTCATTCCAACGATCCTTTGATCGCCTCATTCCAAGAGGTCGAGGATCCTCCGGTTACAGTTACTTCTTTGCAGGCCGCGCTCAACAAACTTCGTAAGGAGTTTGAAAGCAACATACCTTCTACCTCTAAGCAGCAGCCTAGGAGAGAGGGAGAAGGTGCTTCAAAAAGAACTCGGAGCAGGGCGGCCAATGCAACAGATGCTGGGAACACTCCGTTCCGTCGGCCAAAAGGAAGGTCTCCTAGGGTCCCGCGGACCAATCTGTCAAGCATGATGGCGAAAACACAGCCGGCTGGGAGGAGACGCGGACAGCCTCAAAGAGAGGAGCCAGAGCCGTCTAGAAGATGGAGGGACGCGAGAGATTACCTTCGGCACAAACAACGTGAGCGTGCCGCTTATTCGAACACGGCCTCAACTCCAACAATGTCGGATGAGTTCCCTAACCATTCACTCTCTCAACATACCAACACGGCCATCTCGAGTAGAAGTCAAGTTGTCTGCACTCCAACCCCCATCCCAGTTCAACCACTTCAGTATCCTCCTCAGATTTTCAATGGCATGATGCCGCATAGTCCCCAGGTCTTAGGGAAATACGGGCAGTACGCCCAGGTGCTCGGTCAGGCCCCATATATGGCCGGACAAGCCGCGCAGCCGCAGCCAATTGATTGGCAGATGCACTTATTGGCTCTTGGGGACAAGCCGCCTCCGTTTTTGCAAGATATACTGAATTCACCACAGCCAGCTAAGGTGAAGAGTGTCCTGGTGGGAGCCTATGATGGTACATGCAACCCAGAGGAGCACATCACCTCATACAGAAATCTGATGTATCTGCAAAGCGTCGACGATGCTACATGGTGCAAATGCTTCCCGGGCACGTTGAAAGGTGTGGCGCAGGACTGGTTTAACAGCCTTTTTGCCGGGTGCATTAACTGTTTCACAACTCTTAGCCTACTGTTCGTAGGAAATTTCTCTTATAACATTCCACCTCGAAAAACAAGTCTCAATTTGGCAACAATTGTACAAGGAAAGAATGAAGGGCTGCGCTCGTACGTGCAAAGGTTCAACCAGGAAAAAGCCCAGATTCATAATCTCCCGGATGAAATGGCGTACTTTGAATTTCTCCATGGATTGAGGCATAATGGTTTTAAGTTTGACTTGGTAAGAAAAAAGGTTCGGACATACGCAGGCATTCTGCGGGAAGCCGAAGCCTACATTGAGGCAGCTGATTTTTGTTCCCTTACTAAAGCAAAAGTGCCGGCCAAGGGGGCTGAGAAGAAACAATCTTCTCAGCAAGACTCGACCGGTAAAAAGAAGGAAGGGAGCAAAAGGAAAGAAGTCTGGGTAGCAGACAGCTAGCAGCCAAAGTTAAAAAAGCTGAAAACGTATGAGCCGCAATATGAGTTCAACAAAGATTGTTATTCAATCCTGATGGAAATCAAGGATAAATTTGATTTTGAGAAGCCTCAGCCGTTGAGAGGCTCGGCGCAGTTCAGGAACAAGAACAAGTACTGTCACTACCACAAGGATGTGGGGCATGACACGAACGACTGTATCAATTTGAAGAAGCTGTTGGATAAACTGGCCGAGAAGGGCATGTTGAATACATATGTGATGAAATCCAAGTTCACTTACACCCGGACAGAGAATACGTCCGAAAAGAAAAAGAAAAAGAATGATAAGGAAGATGATGGGAACATTACTGATTCGGGCTTTGTGGTCGTAATATCGGGGGGATTTGCTTCAGGCGGCCCCACAATGAAAGGAATCAAGCAAGACTCCTGGAATTTAGGAAAGATGATGCAGGCGGATGTTGTAAAGCCTGAACCCTTTCCTAAAATAGTCATTAGCGAGGCTGACAGGGGAGAGATCAAAGCCCTGCACAATGACCCCATGGTTTTTATAATGAAGATAGCCAATCTGAAGGTGGACCGAATACTGATTGACACGGGCAGCTCGTCCGATATCATCAGTCTGGTCGCCCTGAAAAATTTGAAGTTTCCAGAAGATGCCCTCAAAGATATCACCCACCCCTTGGTTGGGTTTGGGGGGAATATTATTCACCCAGTGGGGCAGATTGACTTGCCCGTCCGTTTCGGACAGAAGAGGGAAGGAAGGGACATGGTCGTCCGCTTCCTAGTGGTTAAAGAGCTTACAGGCTATAATGCGATTCTCGGTGTAACACCCCCAAATCTTCCTCTACGAAAATACCAGTATAATACGTATAATTATACCGTAGAGATAGACTTGGGCGTATTACCGCCGCGTGATTACGCAAGGCTACTCAACTCACTAACTAAAACCAATACTTTGCAGCGGAAACTTCAATACTCTTCTTATTAATAATAACTAGAAATAGTAACTAATGTTATGAGTACTCAAATTACATGCAAAGACCAAAACTCCTAATTAGTGAAACCAATCCCGGGACTCCAATGCATCAATTATTGACTCCCACGTGAAAACACTGCTTACCATTACGGTAAACAGGGCGAACCAAAACGAATAAGAAGTACGGGTTAGCAAAATACGCTAAGTACGATAAGTGCAAGATAGTTAAACTCAATTTATTCGCAAACATGCTTTAAAACCAATTTCCAATAGTTAATCCAATAATTCCGAACTCATGATTCAAAACCAAATCTCAATATTCCAAGATCAATAGTCAATAAAACCAATTCCTCATATTAAAAATCCAATTCCTTGAAAACCAATTCCTCACCCAAGTGTGCACACCCCCCAAGCTAGTCTCCTTATATTACAAGGCTATTCTTGAGGAAAGACCCGGTCATACAAAGTCCAAGGCCTTATCAATAAACCAAATCCGGATAGTGGGATTACGAACATGCTTGTAAAGCATTAATAATAATAATTCAATAAATCGTCTTTAAATTCAATACATCCAACTTTTAATAAAAATTTCCAAAACTCCTCTTTATTAAATTCAACATGCTTTCAAAATAAAACCCTTTTAAAACATGAATAATAATTAATTCATTTAAAACATGATATAAAATCAATACTCCAATTTATTTATCAAAACCAATTTATTTAAACATGCTTTTTATTTCATAAACCATAATTCAATTCAATTCAATTCAATCATCAAAATCATTCAAACATGCTTATTCAAACCAATCACTTTCAAGGTATCTAGCCACCTAACGTACCTTGATCCTTGCTTAGCAACACACACAAACGAAACCTCAAGAATCTTGATCAAAAACACCCTACAAATAAATATAACCTTAATTAATATAAGGTTAACAAGTAATCACAAATAATTAAACTAAAACCTCCCAACTATATGTACATGAACCTTTTGAATTAATTTATCATAAACATTATAAAATCTGATTTTATATAATTAAAACTAATCATAATAATTTTTATATAATTTCTCCCATAATAATAATAATAATTGAATAAGAGAAAAAAGTATGGGTGTGTTAGTGACAAGGAGGTTGTCCAATTATGATGGAGGTTTAAATCAATTTTAGTGTATTTTCAATTCTGTTTTAAGTTTGTAATTTTTGGGTTTTTAGAAAGGAATCTTTTCTGTTATGAATGAGTGGCTGTAATTACACTTGATAATGCTTATTTAAGCACAAGTGAATGGTAATTGAAAGAAAAGAATTATATTAACAACATCTCTCTCTAACTCTCTTCTTCTACTTCTCTTTCTAAAATTCTCTTTGATCTTCTTCTTCTTATCTTCTTCTTCCTTCTCTTCTCTTAACTTCTCTGCATATTTTTGGAGAATTACTTCTCCCTTATCAGTGGTATCAGAGCCAACCGCTGCCTTCGTCTTCTGTCATTCCGCATCTTCAATGGAAGAGCATTGTGGAATTCATAAATGTCGTTCAAGCGCTATCTTTTTGCTCAATATTTATCTACAATCAATCCCCTTCAATTTTGCTCAATTAGATTAGCCTTGAAAGATGTTGGAATACCAGGATAATACTGATAAAAATGGTTCATCTCCTCAACCTCAAGAGAATGATCATGGGGGCGTAGATGAAAACAATGATGCCAAATCTCAGCATGGTTCACGTACGTGATCATGAGAGGAGTTCTTCAAGAAGTAGAGAGAGGGACCGAGAAAAGGGACGGGAGAAAGATCGGGATCGAGACAAGAAGAGAAGAAGAAGATCAAAGAGAATTTTAAAGAGAGAAGTAGAAGAAGAGAGTTAGAGAGAGAAGTTGTTAATTCAATTATTTTCTTTCAATTACCATTCACTTGTGCTTAAATAAGCATTATCAAGTGTAATTACAACCACACATTCATAACAGAAAAGATTCCTTTCTAAAAACCCAAAAATAACAAACTTAAAAGAATTGAAAATACACTAAAATTGATTTAAAACCTCCATCATAATTGGACAACCTCTTGTATCAGTTAGTTATTTGTAGTGCGAACACAAAAAAAATTTGTCGAAAAATAAAAATGGTACTCGTATAATATTTGTGAAACTTCTTGAAAAGGCAAGTGGTCTAATATTAAAAACAACCCGAGGAAGTATTAGAATTTCAATGGCCGTTTATTATTTTTTGAATGATTATATATACTAATATATAAATGAACATTTATCAAAATAAGAATGATCTTTGATCAAATTGAAAGTGAATAGTTATCAAAAAGAATTTTCACTACATAATATATTTACATTTATATAATCCTACAAAATATGTCAAATTATCCAAAAAATTAGGCCAATTATGGGTGTGTTCGGCAAAATATAACTGTGAAGGTAGCTGTTAGTTGTCAACTAGCTGTAGTTGTGAAGATAAATAATTTAGGTATGAGTGTTCGGTAAAATAACGGTTGACTAGCTGTTACATATAAAAATCAATATTTTATATTAAAACTATAGATTAAATTTTCAACAGCTACCTCAAAAGCTTCCTCTACTTTCAAAAGCTAATATTTCTAACTTTTCATAAAAGCTACATCTACCACTAAAAGCTACCCTAATCACTACTTTGCCAAACACTAACATTTTTTTGTTTGGTCAAACCACTAAGGACTTGTTTTCTTCAACTTATTTCAGATACTTATTATTTATTCCTTAATAAATTCAGATCAGATCAAAACTTTTGATTTTCATTTACTTATCGCTAAATATCGTTAATTGCGTATTAAATTTTTTATAAAAATTTCACCTTTGCATTAATTTGGTTAAATTTACTTGAAAGTTGATTGGAGATTCTTGGTTTTGATGATTTGGTGCAATAGCTTACCATTGGAAATCAATTGAAGTTTGAGTTTATCCTATTTTTTAGATGGAATTTGTTGATATCTTAAGCTACCTAATAAGTTGATTTCTTAAGCCCTTTATTGGTGCTTTGTTGAATTTTTGTAATTTGAGTTGTGATTAAATTTTTATCTTCCCTGTAGCCTCACTGCCTTAGTTGATTAATTACCAATCTGAGCTTTGGATCATACTTCATTTTTTAATATTTTTTGTTTCAAAAGACTTTCCTCTTTGTAAACTCAAAATTTAATTTGATATGCAGGGAATTATATCCAAGGGTGGGTGGTTTCTTGAAGGTCTTGTTTCCGGTAGTAAAAAAATATATGCTGAGGACGGTCAATTGATTATCCTAGCCGTTGGAGAGAAGGTAAAAGATGAATGTTTGTCATATATGTATCATCTTATAACCACATCCTATCTGCCTTATTTCCATACTTCAGATCTGTTGCATTTTGTTCTCTTGTTGCCTCTCTTCAGAGGTGTACTGGTCTGAGGTGAATGGAAGAAGTAATACTTATAGAGAATTTGAATGAAGTACTGTTTTTTTTTTTTTTTTTTTTTTTTTTTTTTTTTTTTTTTTTTTTTTTTTTTGTGGTCATTGTCACTGCAAATGGATTATGTTAATTTCTCCAACCTTTTGTTAGCTGACATGCTGCCTTTTTTCAGTTGCTGCATGAATATAAGTGGCTTGAACCTTTGGAGTCAGGTTTCATATATGATAAGCTTTGAGAGTCTAGCAGAAATATTTCAGGTAATAGTATGGTGCAGTCACACTTCCAGCCTATTGATTTGGTCAGTGTTGATTCTCTCAGGTATTGGGTATAACTTCTATGTGACTTTTCATTGTTAGAATAATCTTTGGCATGTTTGTGTGATTACAACGTATACTTTGAGGCATGCTCATTTATTTATAACCAGGAATTTGGCCTTGTATAACCTTCTTGATCTATTATCGTGGTGATTGGCAATTATTGTGAATCATAAATGATTTTTAGGGTGTGTTGAGCGAAAGCTGATCATTTCTTGCCTTTTTAGTAATTGGACAAAGTTGTACTGTACTGTGGGTTATGCCGTACTTGACCATGTTGGCTCAATCTTGCACTTTTTGGGAGTCTAATATGCTCTTTACGTTCTTTAATTCATTCTTAAAGAGTTACAAGTTAATTGTTCAGAGTTCTTCCATTTAGAGTTAAACTGAATCTTGCTTCTGCTTTTTTCAGATATTAGAAACTAGCTACGCAATATTCAGAAACATGCTTCTGATAACGTGAAAATTATTTTGGTAGGAAATAAGGAACAAGGTACTGAAGAATAGGGATTTTTATCTTCTGGTCGGATGTGGATTGAGGTACTGATGTTTACTGTAAATTTGTCTCTCTTTTTTCCCTTTCTCTGCCTATCTCAATTGCTAATTTCGGTTCCCATATTTTCTCTGCTCCATCCCCATCTCCTTCTCTGTCTTCCTCCCACCAAAACTCCCTCACCAATTTGCAGCAGTACTCGACGAAGACAAGCTTTACATGTCACAGCAATCAAGAAGATCACCGAACAAGAGTTCATCCCTGATATCCCTCCATTTTTCAGAGAGAAATGCTGCTGCTACTGCTGTTTTCTCTTATCTCACTTTCTCTCTCTAGAATGGGTGTTTTTGAGGGTTTTTCAAAGAATTTAGGTAAGGAATAGCACTACATATTCCGATTATTCCATGATTATTAGTATCATTTTAACTTGATTAATTGTTCTGATGATCCAATTTTCAGCATTAGCTCATGGGTTTTAATTTCATCGAATACCTATTTCACAATCTTCTTAGGTAAGGTGTTTTTTTTTTTTTTCATTGAACACCAATTTCACAATCTAGGGTTCATCATTAATTTGTGTCCGAAAGTCCACTTGATATTGTGGCAAATTTCAGAAAGAATCTGCAACCAGATTCATATACTAGTCAAATAAACCAAATTTGAATGATGGCAAAACCTTCCATATATTAACCATTGAACCTAATAGGTTCGATCACATTAGCCTACGCACACCTTATAATTACCAATGTCAATGCTCAACAGACAAGCAGCGAGCTCGAGCGTTTCTTAAAGCAAATGCCAATTATAAATATGATGAAAATCATAGACCTAGACTTGTAAGAGCAAATATATAAAAATGTCATGACAAAGCACAACCCTACACTATGTAACCTGTCATGACAATACAAATTAATGCAAATAAATCAAACATAAACAAAATTGCCAAAACAATTAACAATTAATCAATTTTAACATAGCCCGTACATTATTTCCGAGGTTCTCCGGAACTCCGAGAACCTCGGAAACGTTGTCGGCGCCGTAGAAATCGGGGTGAGTCGACTCAGCGTTGGTGCCGACCCACCGATTGATGTGACTCGGGTAAATGATACTCCGTATCTAGTTATTGTTTCAATTGTTTGGAGTGTTTGGGCTTTAAACGATATCTAGTCTTGTCCTCTGACTTTTAGATATTAGCTACTTACTCGTATTAGCTTTTTTTTTTTTTTTTTTTTTTTTTTTTTTTTTTTTTATAAATAATTTATTTTAATGTTAAATTTAGTTTTTAAAAACACAAATTCTCAAAAGAGGCGTGTGTACGTTAATTTATTGTAAAATGAGCTAAAGTTATCATAAAATTATTTAAAGTTATCCTTTATACTACAAAAGTTACCAGTATTATTTTTCTAATAATAATGTTAGTATTTTATCTTATGAAAAAAACTTATAATGTACTTCGTATGAGATTAATCATATTAGCTTTTATAGTATGTAATATAATAAATTACAATTAAAATAAAATTCAAACCAATAACAAATTAAAAGTTACCTTTTAAGTGGTTAAAGTTACCATAAAAATAGTTAAAGTTATCCTTTAACTGACCGTCTTAGGGCATGTTCCGATTTACTGAAAATAACTTAACTGAAATGATTAGGGCTTAACTAAATTGAAATGAATTGCTTATGAGAGAAGGAAATTAGGAACTGAACTAAACTGATTGGAGCTTAGCTGAACTTAAATTAAGCTGAAAAGAACAGGTCCTACAATAAAAATAACGTACACCCGCCTTATACAAGATCTATTGGTTTTAAATACTTAGTACTTGATTTAAGAAAATATAAAACGTATATAGTTATATCACTTATATACCTTTAAAAAATTATGGTCTATATTAGTAAATAAATAGTTCAGAGGTCAATGTGTTACAAGTCTTTTAAAATACAAAAGGTGGAAAAACTAGCTTTGATTCACCGGAAAACAGCTTAAAGTTTTGTTTTTTATATTTTTGATAAATAACAGCTTAAATTTTAATGATGACTGGATGAATATATATATATATTTTTTTTTGTTTTTGTTTTTACACCATTACACAATCTAGTGATCTAAAGGCCTCAATTCCTCAGCTATCTACAAACCAAACTTCATTTTTTTTTTATATTTTCTTTTCAGAACAAAGTGTGTAAATAAGTCAAATGAATCGTTTAATTAATAAATGAGTTCATTAGCCTTATAATTCTAATTTACTGGTAGTTAATAAATTGATAGTACAAGTTAGACCAAATTAAACTTTTTGTTATCTATCAATATGAGATAACTTGTACTTACATATGGGTTATTGATTAATTATCTTACTTCTTCCAAAAAAAATAATAAGGAAATTTTAGAAAATAACACCACAAAAAAGCCACGCTTTTGATTATAACACCACAAAAAGCCACGATTTTGATTATAACACCACTAAAAAACCCAAAAAATTGATTTCACCACCGCCTAGAGGATGCCGTAAAAAAACCGTTTGTGGACCCCACCAAGTACACGTGTCACTTATATTGGTTTAAAAAAAAAAAAACTAGATCCTAAGCCCAGCCACCAAGCCCACCACCGGCAGTCCCTACATCCCACCGCTGGCACTACCCCCCCACTGCCGCTAAGCCACACCAGAGTCCACCCAGCCACCCCCACCCTCCTAACCAACCCCGAAAAACCCTATCGACCACTAGACGCAGCGATTGACCCCAGCCCGCAACTCCATAAACCCTAGCCACCACAAAAAATGGCGAATATCGGTTGAAATCAGCCGGATTAGGGCCTGAGTGGTCAAATTCGACCCTAAATGGCCGATCTCGACTGCTAGTAGCTAATTTTGTTTTGGAATGGAAGAAAAATGGTGGTGGCTATCGGTTTTGAGTGGGGAAAGGAGGTGTTTACGGCCTTGCCGGGGTTGTTTGGTGTGAATTTCGTGGTTTTCGGTTGCTGGAGGGGTGTCGAAAGTGGTTCAAGGGGTGTTGTAGGGGGGTTTTGGTGGCTGGAGGGGTGTTAGAAGTGGTGCAAGGGGTGGGAATTCGTTGTGTGGTGGTGGAGGTGGTTACGGGGGTTTTTCGGTGCGAATTTCGTGGTTGATGTTGTTGGAGGTGTGAGGGAAGGCGGCCGAGCTGAGGTGGTTTCGCCAGTTTTATTGCAGCCCAAAAGTTGTTATAAATTGTAAATTGCAGCATAATTCAGTTTTTCGTTGGTTTGCGTGTTGAAAAATGTCCGTTTAAGGTTAAGCGGCCATTTTAGTTCTTAAGGGGACCGAATTGAGCTAGGAATTGGGAAAAAATAATGTGAGTACCTTTTGGGCTGCAATTTGCAATTTTTTTTTAAATGGCTACAGTTTGCAAAATACAAGTTTTAAATGGCTGCAGTTTAAAAATTTTCCAAAAAGCAAAAACATGGAATGGTACCGCCTTAATTGGTTTAGTGGTTACTACTCGTATGAAAACTTAGGGCTTGTTCTGATTTACTGAACTGAATTGTTTATGACAGAACAAAATTAGGAACTAAACTGAACTAAACTAAAATTAAGGTGAAGAGAACATGTCCTTGGACTTTTTGTTATTTTTATACTCCCAACTGTTTTTATGTTAATTATCTGAATGGCTTCTGTCATTTTCACAGAAAAAGAGAAATTCTGATCCCTCTATCTCTACACTTATTAGGATCATCTTAAAGCATACTTTTTATATATGAACATTTATCATTTATGGATTACTTGATTAATAATAGATCATTAATACGGCCCTGTGCTCTTCACCTTAAAAAAATAATATTAAGTAAAAATAATTTCAGTTCAGTAAAAATAAGTTCAGTTCAGTAAAAATAATTTTAGTCCAGTAAAAATAATTTTAGTTCAGTAAAAATAATTTCAGTTCAGTAAAATTCAGTTTTCTTAAAGAAGAATTATAATAGAAGCAAAAATAATTTCAGTTCAGTAAAAATAATTTAAGTTCAGTAAAAATAATTTAAGTTCAGCAAATATAATTTTGTTTCAGTAAAAATAATTTTAGTTCAGCAAAAATAAGGTGAAGAGAACGGGGCCTAAGGATATCATTAGTTAAAGTTTTGTATTAGCAAAGGTGATACCTTTTGGGGTAGAACAAGTATGGGTTAATCAGTATCCATCATAAATTACTCCCTATGTACTCTCAGACGCTTTGTCCCTTAATTAATATATTTTGCTCGCTGTGTTTCCATTAAAAAAAACAAATATGTACGTACAATGTCAGTCAAAGATACTACAACATTTTGTATTAAAAGGTGTATTGTATATGCTCACTAACATGTTTAGTCATTCTAAATTTTAATTTGATGATTAAATATGTTGTATACAATAACAATACTCTGAGGTGTACAACTACTTCCTTTCATTTTACAAGTTTTCGATTCCGATGTAACTCGATCTATTGTTGTTATTTGTTAACATTGAAGATTCTTCTATTTAATCTTGCAAGTCCATTAGTGGTTGTATTTATTGTTGTATGACAATGTGTAGGTAGATCCATATACATTAAATTTTCCTGTAACTAAACTTGTTGAATGAAAAGCAAATACCATGAATACCCTCAATCAAGGTACCAAATTAAGGATGCATTTATAATGGGGGCAGATTTCATTATCTTAATTCCTTTTCCCCATTATGATTCTTTTGGCAAATGAGACAACAAAGATTAAGGTATATTAGTATTTAGAATAATGCAAGTTAACCCGTGAACTTGAACTCGAAGACAAAGAAATTTCACCTGTTTTACATAATTGCGTTCAACATCACCCACAATAAAAAGTGTAGGAATAGTGAGTTTTAGTGACCACCGAAAGCTTTGCATCATGGATATTGTTTCATTCATTGTGGAATGCGGACCTCATTATCCTACAAGTTGTTATGCTTATGCAAATATGCAGGGAAAAAAAATCAATGATGAATCTATGCTTTTTAAAATACCTATAACCAAACTACTGTTATTTTACAATGATATGATGTCATGAGGGATTCTAGATTATTGATTACTTTATATTAGAGTTATAATTATAATCCAGAACGATGAACAATAAGTTGACGATTTCCTTCATTATTTCCTAACCTATATTGACGAAATACTTTATAATTATATATGTTCTGGCCTAATTAGTGTTTTTTTGTATAGCCTATACTATAATTTGTGACGATGTAGCCTTAATGGCTTTAAGACATAAGTATTTTAAATAAAATATTAAAGGGGTACAAATTGGAATTTTTTTTATGACAAAATCATGTATCAATCGACAGTATGATTTAGTTATTGTAAATCTTTTTCCTTGTAAGCCTCTTGCGTGTAGCTATAAAAACTACATTTATTATTTTTCTACTAAAATTGACGAAATGAAATTTTACAGTATCTTTTGTAAGTAAGGGCCTGTTCTCATACGATTATTTTCAGTTCAGTTCAGTTCAATTCAGTTTTTATCTTAATTTCCTTCTCTCATAAAATATTCAGTTCAATTCAGCTCTAATAAGTTCAGTTCAATTCAGCTCTAATGAGTTCAGTTTAGTTCAATTTAGTCAATAAGAACAGACCCTAATTGTTTGAAAAGAGAATGACAATTGTCATTCTTTTTTACAACAAACATATACATATCCACCTCAAAAGTTCCTGAAAAAAAGGTTCACTTAAAAAACTAATAAAATGTGACAAGCTACACAATCGAAGAAAGTAGTAAATTACGTGAAATGAAAGAATTGCCAACACCATTTTAGGCAATTCCTTCTTTAGATGGGTAACCTTCCACAATCTGGCCTTCTCACAATCTTATCATTTGGTTATACTCCGTAAAACAGTTCCTAATTATACCATCCACCAAAACATTTTACTCTACAAATTACTTTTTTTTTTGAAAGGTTACTCTATTAATTACGGAGTACTTAAAAGTTAAAAAACAGAATCTCGATAAATAGAAATTCTTGAGAATTTCCAAAAAAAAATTAAAAACTACGAATCAAAAAAACAAAAAACAGAAAAAAGGATCACACGTGACGAAAGCTGATCCTAGCTAATGCTCTCTGCTCCACACTCACTTCCCTTGTCTCTCCCTTTGTCTTTTTCATCCCATCATAAATTCATAATCTTACTTCTCTCAATATTTATACCCCTCACTTCCACTCTAAACTTCAGATTTTCATTTTTGTAACCTAAAAATTACAAAATTAAAAATAAAATAAAATGGGGTTGCTAAATACTTATCCAATTATGTCGATAATCATGTTGTTGTTAATGGGTATCTGCCACGTGTCCTCATCGGTGTCGCCGGAGAAGAAGACATTCATTGTCCACGTGGAGAAGTCAAGAATGCCGGCAACCTTTGACCAGCATTTAGAGCGGTTTCAGTCATCTCTCCGACAGGTTTCCGACACGGCGGAGATGATGTACACGTACACAAACGCTGCTCACGGATACGCGACAAGGCTGACCGACGCGGAAGCAGAGTCACTCTCTTCCCTGCCCGGAGTTCTGTCGGTGCTGCCCGAGACACGTTACGAGTTACACACGACTCGAACACCGTCATTCCTCGGACTCGACAGAACTCCGGACGCTGTTCTTGATTCGGAGACAGCAAGTGACGTCATTGTCGGGGTGTTAGACACGGGAGTATGGCCGGAGAGTAAGAGCTTCGACGATAAAGGAATGGGTCCCGTGCCAAGCACGTGGCGTGGCGCGTGTATGACAGGGATGAATTTCAGCGCGTCTAGTTGTAACCGGAAGCTCATCGGCGCACAGTACTTTTCTCAAGGGTATGAGGCTGTTGTGGGGTCGTTTGATGGGTCACGTGAGTCGAAGTCCCCACGTGACGATGATGGTCATGGGACCCATACGGCAAGTACTGCAGCTGGATCCTCTGTGGAAGGAGCTAGCCTCTTTGGGTACGCTCCTGGCACGGCTAGAGGTATGGCCCCTAGAGCCAGAGTAGCTGTCTACAAGGTGAGTTTTTACTTTCTCCGCTTTTTAATACTTGTATTATATCTCAACCGTAGTATTAACTAATTCTCATCTACTTCGTATTAATTGTCGTTTTAAGATTAGAATATTGTATCTACTTGGTATTAATAGTTACGTGTACTATTTTTGTTGTCTTAAAATGTGGTGTAGAGATATGATATGGGGTCGAATTTCTTAATTTGGATTGATAGAGATGGGAGAAAAATATAATTTGTTTAATTGAAATTGATAGTTTTTGTAAGGTTGTGAAGTTAGGGACAATGTGAAAACTAATTTCGAAAAGAGGAAATATCGGTTATTGAATAAATTTGTTGCAATACAGGAGAGATTTTGCGAGTAATTATGAGGGAGTATTGAATTTGTTACTGATGTAGGAGATGTTATTGTAGGTGTGCTGGAAAGGAGGATGTTTCAGTTCGGATATATTAAAGGCAATTGATAAGGCGATTGAGGATAATGTCAATGTGCTATCACTTTCACTAGGCGGGGGTATGTCGGATTACTATAAAGATAGTGTGGCCATTGGTGCGTTTGCAGCAATGCAACGGGGGATTTTGGTGTCGTGCTCGGCAGGGAATGCAGGGCCTACTGCCTTTAGCTTGTCGAATGTAGCACCGTGGATTACTACCGTGGGGGCTGGTACATTGGATCGGGACTTCCCGGCTGTTGCTAGCCTTAGTAATGGGAAGAAATACTTTGGAGTTTCGCTCTTCCGTGGTGCATCCTTGCCTAAAAGCATGGTTCCAATTGTCTATGCAGGTACATTATTTTGCTAACCATCATAATTTATTAAATACTTGGTACTTATCTTCAAAATGTAGCTTATTCCATACATTTTATCTTACATGAGAACTAATATGGAGTAGAGTTGTATGACGTGGATTCGGCTAGCTGAAGATTTGAAAAATACAGTTCAAGTATGAATATTTGAATACATGATTTTGATTAGGCAAGATATGAACACAAAACTTAATACTAAGACTAATAGATAAAATTATACTCCTGTCTATGATATAAGATTTAAAGATATACTCCGTAAGTAATTGCCACAAACCTGCCTCTTTATTGAAGCGTCCTTGCTAGCTTGTAATATATCCGTTTTAGTACTAAGTTTTCATTACATTGATATGATGACCATTTAACTAGTGATGCTAAACACCAAAAAAAGTAGTGATGCTAAAGATTATTATTTTGATTTTCCCCACATTGCTCAACCTCTCCTCATTTATAGAGCTGATTACTTTTGGGCTACTCACGACAATGTTCTCAACTAACTTGAATTTTGATTGATATATTATACATTTTCCATGATTGTGGTAATATTTTACCATGGCACAATATAGACCAGAAATTTAGGTGATATGCAATCTACCATTAGTTTTGAGGGTGAATGTCAAGTATCTGACATGACAAGAAAATTTATTTTCAAGCCTTTGTTTCCACACTACTAGTGGTTAAGTAATTGAATAGATTTTAGTTTTGAGCAAAACCAAAAATTTACTATGGAGTACAATATTAGTTAGAAGCTGCAACTAAATTCAAAGAAAAGTAGGTAAACTGCAATACTGTTAACAATTCAGAATCCTGTGATCAAGATTTTTTTATTCATTTTTTATTATTTATTTTATATGCTCCCGAACGGATTACCCCATAATCATTTTTGGACTAAGACTTTGTTGTTGTTGTTGCTCTATGAACGCATTACGGGGTGTAAGGTGCTACACAAAAATATGGAGTAGGACAGTTTTGGGAACATCTAGGACTCTGGAAGGGAAGTTTAGTTACCGAATAGCTCTCTCTATGGTTTTTGTTTCCCTATAGCATATGGCCTTTGTTGGGATTCCATTGTCACATTATCGGTTCAAATTTAGACAAAGTAACTAATTTATTAGACCCTACAAGGACTGCATCACAAGTGTTTTGAATAACATGATTTCTGCTTTCAAATTTACCTGTGACTCTTGTCAGTATAGTCAACAAATGTATGCTAGCTAGAACAATGTGATAATTTGGATGTTCATTGCGTCTACACATTAATAATACAAAGAATGACAGGCCAACAATTTGCAGCCAATAAGATTTTAATGCCAATTCATATTGTTATTCATGACGTTGCAATTATAATTACAAAATTGTAACTGATGATGGGCACAATGTGAACTCTGATACTATTGCAGGAAATGCGAGCAAAAGCGGCAGTTTATGTATGACTGGATCATTAATTCCGGAGAAGGTGAAAGATAAGATTGTCTTGTGTGATCGTGGGGTGAATGCGAGGGTACAGAAGGGTGCGGTGGTCAAAGCAGCTGGTGGTATTGGTATGATTTTAGCGAATACCGAGGCAAATGGGGAGGAGTTAGTTGCTGATGCACATTTATTGCCAGCCACAACGGTGGGCCAGAAGAATGGAGATGCAATAAGGGACTATGTGATCTCAGACTTGAATGCGACTGCCACCATCCTTTTCGAGGGAACGAAAGTTGGGGTGCAACCGTCCCCTGTGGTGGCGGCCTTTAGTTCCCGTGGTCCTAATGGGATCACCCCTGAAATTTTGAAGCCTGATATGATCGCACCAGGTGTCAATATCTTAGCTGGGTGGACAGGGGCTGTGGGGCCCACCGGAGAGGCTTCTGACTCGAGGCGAGTTGAGTTTAACATTATCTCAGGGACATCGATGTCTTGCCCTCATGTAAGCGGCCTTGCAGGGTTTTTGAAGGGAGTGCACCCTGATTGGAGCCCTGCAGCCATTAAATCTGCTTTGATGACTACAGCTTATGTTACCTACAAAAACGGGCAGATACTGCAGGATGTTGCTACTGGGAAGCCGTCCACACCACTGGATCATGGGGCTGGACACGTCGATCCTGTATCTGCCCTGAATCCTGGTCTCGTGTATGATCTCACAGTCGACGATTACTTGGGTTTTCTTTGTGCATTGAAGTACACCCCATCACAAATAAACTTAGTTGCTAGGAGAAGTTTCACCTGTGACAGTGCTAAGACTTACAGCATATCAGATTTCAATTACCCTTCATTTGCAGTCTCCTTTAAAACAGGCCCAACAACTCACGCAGCCGGAAGTCCAAGCAGTGGACCCACCGTGGTGAAGCACACACGAACCTTGACCAATGTTGGCCCTCCCGGCTCATATCAGGTTACCGTTACTTCACAGGCACCAGAGGTTAAGATATCAGTGGAGCCAGAAATTCTGAGCTTCAGTAAGATGAATGATAAGAAATCATACACTGTAACTTTTTCTGCCGGATCAATGCCTTCAGATACAATGAGATTTTCTAGGATTGATTGGGCGGATGGTAAGCATGTAGTTGCTAGCCCGATTGCATTTAGCTGGTCGTGATAATAAAGCTTCTTACAACGAAAGGAAAATGCAGTTGGCCTTGGTGATTTCAGGTTAAGTCAATGCTCACTATGTTCGAGTATAGTACGTAGAGATTTATAATGTTTGCTTCTCAGGAATATGTGCAACAAGTAGCATCACATTACCACGGAATTGAACAGTCAGTTAACATTCAGGTGGTGCTGCCTCCGAAATTCGGGTATGAGGCCATGGTTAGAGACCTACCAAAGCCCTGAGATTAAGGCTCCCCCATTAGTCTATTAGTCTATTATTTTACTTTGAAAAAAAAGACATTTGAATTGTTGTGCCACTGAAGAGTGGAAAAAAAAATCATGTACTGTTCTTCAAGATAAGAACAGGACAAAATAATCATGTACTTGCATCCAATGTTCTATTGTTCAATGATTTTTATCCAAAGAGAAATTATTAATCAAGAGTTCATTTTTACAGGGTGGCAGCTTTGGCTTTTTTGATAATGCATTTTTGTACTTGGGGTTATGCAGTGGTAGTTGAATCCAGCATCTCACACTATCCTTATCGCTCAATTATTATAATCCTTCCAAGTATAATTGACAATCTCCAATATTTTTGTGTCTTCACACTACACAAGTTTGGCGTATTCATTTAAATCCTCTTTTTGCTCCTTTTTTTTTTCTTATTGCTTTTTTAATTTTCATTTTTATTATCAACATTTAAATATTCCATTATTTACAACAATTAAAAGGAAAAAAAAACTCCTTTATTTTTACTAGTCCATAGTAAAAAGAAATACACCGGATTAAGGGCTTGTTCTCTTACGTTGAAGTTCAGTTCAGTTCAGCTCAGTTCAGTTCAGTTCAGTTCAGCTCCTAGTTTCCTTCTCTTATAAAATATTCATTTCATTTCAGTTCAGTTCAGTTCAGCCTTTAATTTCCTTCTCTTATAAAATATTCAGTTCAGCTCAGCTCAGCTCAGCTCAGTTCAATTCAGTTGTGTTCAGTCAATGAGAACATGCCCTATGCCCTAAATGGTTAGGATTCCTACCCTTAATAGCTAGACATACTTATTTAGAGTTGTAACTTTGAGTTTGTTACTAATCTGATAATTATAGTTCTTATACCAACATTCACATGTATCCACAAGCTTAAGTAGTTTACTAGATTACAACCATGATCAATAAGCTTATCAAAGACTTGTACTTTTAAATAACTACTTTAAATGTTGAGTAGTACTTAACTAAAGCCACAACTATGTCATTATCACTCATATGAAGGCTATTGTTTGTAATACCTATACGTATACGAAATAGTAGAAATACTCCGTAGTGATTATAGATAAATAAGATAATGTATTGTTTTTCAGCTCAAAAAGAGGGAATCAATTCTATTAAGATTTCAGGGCCGCACATTTTGAGCTTCACTGAAGGCCCAAAAGGCCTAATGTTGCAGATAGCAACTGACCAGCCCTTTCCTTTCATCTATCAATGTCATCTTTCTTCAGTTCCATGATGGACTGATGCTGAGAGTGAAGGATTGATTAGAGCTTTCCTTCCAATTTTACGCGGTTATCCCTTCAAATTTACAGTCGGAGAATACTTAAATTATGTCCTTAGTATTATCCGCGAAGTATTTCTTTTCACAATTCAACATTATTAACAATCTCAAACGTATTCAATTTACATGATCCAAAACTTTTATAACTCAGATTAGTTAGTAGATGTACTTATTTAAGTTGAATTTGGACTTTTTATTTGATATATAGAATTGTAGATCATTTAAATTTATGCACACATCACCAGATTATTCAATATACGTTGAAGAAATTACTGAACCAATACTCATAAAATTCCTTATCTATACGTGTCTAGAGGAGCCATGGTCTTGAAACACGGGAAATAGAGATATAGTTCTGAAAATCGAAACAATTGCTGGAAGCACTAGATGAAAACCATGCAAAATGCACTGAAATCTTTATGTAAAAACTTGACACGTATTTACATAACATAAAGGTGGTGCAGTATTACATAAATTGAGGTATATCAACAAAACTATAAAATCTGATCCTTTAATTAGAAATAACAATACAAAAACTAAAGAAACTACGTACACCAAAGAAGTAATTAAGTGTGAAAAAGTTTAGAGATGGAGAAAGACAGCAGCACCCCAAAAACTGAAGACAAGAAACAATCAGAGGAAGCAAAGAAGTTAGAGGGTTTGCCAACTGAGACTAGTCCTTATGTGCAATACACAGACTTGGAAGACTACAAGCAACAAGGCTATGGTACCGAGGGCCACAAGGATGTAACGCCCGGCCGTGGCGCTGGCGGGACCGATGCACCCACCCCTTCGGGTGGTGCACCTGCTGCCTCAGCCACGGATGTTATTAACCAACAAGGTGTTCCATGAATAATGCCAAATTGGTTTTGGTTTTATGTTAATTTGTGTCCTAATTAAAAAAAAAAAAAAACGCTGTTCTATTATTCTATAGTGTTGCGCTTCTTGTATTTTCTGATGAAATATTTATTGAGTTTTATATAAACGTGCTTTTAATAAGGTGTATTTCCCATTTGATGGCCCAAGCAATACAATTTATATTTACGGGCCGAGAAATCTAGCCTTGTATTTAGGCCTGATCTAACATTTGAAATACGTTATTCCTCTATAAATTGCTGCTTGCACATTGAAAATTCACACTCTAGTCTCTTTGTCTAGACTCAATTTCAAGCTAAACTTGGTGAATAAACTCTAAACATAGATGATTTGTGATATATAGCCCCAATTTAGTACTGAAGCATGGATGATTTGTGATATATAATCTTACAATGAAAGTAAAACTTTATCATCTTTTATTCAAAAAGAAAAAATTTGAGCAATGATTAATATATTGTAATGCAATGATAGTGATATCTCTATCTTAATTTCAAATGTACATATGCCCACTTTCCTAATGACCACCTTGAGAAAAGGAACACTTATGTTTCAACAAAATTGAAATTTGATAGTATAAAAATATGGGTAATGATATATGTTGTCTTTTGGCTATATATAAGTATTTAATATACTTTTTAAAATGGAATTAAGCTGACTCTGTGCAATTAATGTTACTTTATCCTTAATATTTTCTTTTTTAGCTTCTTTGTCATAGATAATTCATTTTATTTATTTTTTAAAATCCATAATAGTATGTCTAAATAATTTAGCAACTATGCATGGTACGTTGGTACATGCAATCTTAGCTTATAACATCAAATACAAGTTATAAAACCTTTTGTGATAAATCCCCAAGATGAATGCAAGTATAAGTACTCCATAAATTTTATTTCCCTAAGATCGAATAAAGATAGGAAAGAAAAAGGTTGACGAAGAAAGGACATAAGAACAGTAGTACATTCCTTTCCCTATCCGTGGGGCAAAGGCGTGCAGCAAGAAAAGAAAAAGGCGAAGCGAACCCCATGCCATTACTCACAAGCCGTCCATGAAAGCTTAGCTTGTGCCTTACTGCCTTATTAGTTATTAGCTTGTATCATAATAATATCAACCAATAACCACAATTTTAAGACAAAATATCACACATATACAGCTTACTAAATTACTAGTAGTTGCATGCACTGGACCATCCCTCTCACGTCACGTTTTTATTTATTTATTTATTTTTTTTTTTATATTTGTTTTGTGCAATCGCATCACATCTTTATTACTGGTCACCCTAATTAATTTAGGTTCAATTTGGTCCTCTTATATCTACCTTTTTATATTATTGAGGCATTCAATTAATTAGTTAGCTTCTACATTATTCTCTTAGATTCTGATAGCTATATGTAGCGATTATGAATTGATGTTGTTTCGGTTGAAAACAATGGGACCTTGCCGAAGGTCCGCTGAAATGGAGAAGACTGGATTCGGTCCAAGTTGTGTTGGGCCGAAGGTTTCCTGCGCAGTGAACACACGTAAACTAGCCTCGGGGGTGTTTCCGAGGAAGGCCCCTCCGATGCTAAAGTCAGTACAATGTATCTAAGGAAGACACTATGCAAGAGAGTTTGTAGCTTGAGGCTTTTGTGGAATATTTCTGAATGCAAGAATGAGCATATGAATCTGAACGTGAATGTATGAATGTGTCAATATGATGGCTTTTATACCTCATCATACATGGTGAGGTTGGGCCTTAGCCCAATTGGCATGCTTTGTAGGCTGACTTTTGACTTTTGTGCAATTGGAGAGTTGAACCTTGACCTTGGGCTTTTAATTGGATCATTTAGTGCTTAGGCCCAATTTTGACTAAATTGGACCCAAACAACTTGCCCCCCAGACCCGATTTTGAAGGATGACGGGTCGGGTTTGATTTAATTCAGAAAAGGAGGGAAGTAAATGATTTAATTGATCCAAAAATTTGAATTTAAACCGTAATTAATGAGATAACAACGGTTAATGATTTGCGGAAGTTGGACGGATAATGGGCAGTTTAATCACAAGACATGTGTTTAATGGTTACTTAGTGGGTATTTAAGAGAAATTAAAGCACAGACTCTTCGTATCCCATACCTGGAGATATAAACAGAGGCGCGTCATTCTCCTCACTTATTCACCAACACAAACCCAGAATTCCTCGAGAGAGAAACCAAGAACCCGCATCAAAACTTCGCAAATTCCCCGAGCATTGAGCTTAGAAACTGAGACTTGCCACTACGAACTCGTAAATCGGCAACTTTCGCTTCAGATTAAGGTAAATTCCTTTGATTTCAGTTTATTTTTCTTCGAATTCGAACTCCTTCCCCTTTTCTTTCGACTTTTCTCTTCGAAATAATCCATGGCAAGAGGAGTTAGAGGTAGAGCCCGTGCTCCAAGAAGAGCAAGGCCGATTCCCGATCCTAGGAACAGGATTGGGACCTGGAATGGTCAAAGGCCGGAGTCTGACCCTGCTGAAGGGATTAGGGCGACTCCCCTTTCCTCGGCTCCTCCTCAAAGAACGGATGAGCCGAGCGCTTCTGGACGGGATGATGAAGTTCCCGCTGTCCTTTGGGATATCCTCCCTGGGTTTTCAGAGTGGGAGAATGCCGAAGTCGTTTCGGCCATGATAAAGAACCGCCCCTACTCATGGTGGGTAGAGAACGCCGATCAATATCGATTTGCCGAGCAAATTGAGTTGCATTACGGCATTTTTGAAGCTGATGGATATTGGTGCCGAATGCCCTCAGCATCCGATAGAATCCATCGTCCACCCCCGGGGTATGTGGGGGTGTACACGAGACAGCTTCAGTATGGGCTGAGGTTCCCTTTGGACGTTTTCGTCCGAGACTTGCTGATCCATTACAACATTTCCCTATGTCAGCTAACCCCCACCAGCATCCGAAGGGTGATGACATACTTATGGGTCTGCAAGTTCTTCAAGTACGTGCCGAACCTGCACTGCTTCAGAAAGCTCCATCGGCTAGTGCCAAATATTCAAAGTGGGCACGGAAGCCATGGTTCTGGGTGGTATCGGATTGAGTCCCGGCCCCAATACTTGACCATGTGGCCAAATGACTCTTCAGACAAGGACTGGAGAGGTCAATGGATTTGGGTTAGGGCACCCACAGATCCGGGCCACCCTTGCGTCTTCAGCGCTCCCCGGTACTTAGCTGAGCCTGATCCCGAAATGGGAAGTCTAGGTCCCCCCGCAGATAACGGGGCGGATCCGAACCTGGATCAGCAACATATCTTCGGCAAGCTGCCGAACCCGGGGGGAAGTGGTCGAATGCAGCATATCCCGGAGACTTGGCTCCCCGATACGCATTACGTTTTCCAAGAGAACATGCTAGCAGCTGTTGGCCTCAGCCGAAAGTTTAAGGATGGTAAGCTTCTTCGGCTGGGGCCGAGGCTTTTTAACTACCTCTTTTTCTTCTCTCGCTTTGCTTTTTTTATGCTGTGCCGACATATCTGAGCTAAACTTTTTCCCTTTCCTTTTTTCAGAGCGGGACGAGACCAACGTTGGTATTAACTACGCTCGTCTTGGTGTTAACCGAGAGCGAGTTGTAACTGAACGGGCCCCGTCTATCACTGAGCCGAGGCATAGGGAAGTTCATCTGGATTCTTCCCACTTCCAAATTGAGGCTGTTGCTCTGTATCAGAGGCAGAAGCCTTGGTGGAAGAAGAGAGACCCTTGGTTTTAGCTGCTGAACGAAGAAGCTGAAGCTGCCCGCACAGCCGAAGAGGTTGCACGGGTACTTGAGGCTTGCGAAGGAGGAGAAGGGTCCTCCAGAGCTGCTGAAGCCGAAGCTGCAGCTAGAGCAGCTGAAGAAGACGAGGCTTTGCTGAAGACCTCGGTGAGCTTTCAGACAACTTTTTCTTTTTTCTTTTCTTTTTTCTTTTTTCTTTTCTTTTTTCTCTTTTCTTTTTTTACTCACATTCTTCTTCCCCCCTGTCTGTTACAGTCTGAAGAGAGTAACAGACACAGAGAAGGCAAAGCTCCTGTTCGTCCCGAAGACCAAATACAAGAGTCTTCAGACTCAGATATGGACGAGCAGCCCCTTCTGAAAAGGCGCCGAAGGATGGCCATCATCGGCCCTCATGACTTTCAGCAGAGGCCGATGACCATCGGCGTCGCAATAAGGGAACCTGAGGAAGGCAATGGATCGCCGAGGGTTCCCCAGCCAACACCCCAATCTCCTCAAAAGACCCCTCCGCCACCTCCTGAGATGGAGGTGGATCAGAGAACTCCCGAACCTAAGGGAGGGGTCCAAGAAGAAATGAAGAAGAGTGCTGATGAGCACGAAAATAAGGATGCCGTGATGTCCAGCGCTGAGGGCTTCACGGCAGACATCGCAAGAGAGGTTGAGGCTTTCGTCCTCACCCCTGAAGAAGAGGAGGTCATAGTAATTGACTCCTCTGAGAAGGATGATGCTGAGACAACCAAAGCTAATCAAGCTCCATCGTCATCCTTCCCTTCTTTCCAGACTCTGCATTCTGGAGAAATGGGTTTCTCGGCCCCCCGAATTCCAATCCCAGATCACATCTGGGACCTCATATGGGGTCAAAACCGAGAAGGAGCTGCAGCCTACTTCGGCAATTTTGCTGGCATGTCCGAAGTAGACAGGGCAAGGATCTGGTCGCTGAAGGCCACTGCTGGGATGGGCGAATCCAGCAGATCAGTTCCTGACCCAGCCAGGTCTAACCAACTGCTGATGATGCAGGTAATTTTCCTTCATTTCCTCCGAAATTCAGCTCTTTATATATATATATATTTTTTTTTTTTTATTTATTTTTGTCTTCCTGTTTTCAGTTCGTGCACAATCAGACTCTCACTGTAGAGCTGATAGATACCCTACAAGATAGGGTAGACGCTGCTGTGCACGAAAAGAAGGTGGCTGAAGAGGAAGTTAAGCTTGCTAAGCTGAAGCAAGCAGCAGCTGAAGAGAAGCAGCAGGAGGTTGAGGAGTACGGGAAAAAAGCTGCCGAAGCCCTGAAAACCTTCTGCGATGCTATGGAGAAGGAAGTTTTTCCCCCACTGATGGAAGGGGAAAAATTCCTCCAGGAGCATATGGGAGTGGACGTCTCCAAATTCAAGGCTGCTGTTGAGAGCCGAATTCAAGAAGGAACTGCTGCACAAGCTGAAGTGCAGCAGCGTCTA